TGTGTGTGTTTATTGATTTAATGTATTATTTATGCATAATTTTAAAAAAAGATTAGCATTCTGCACTCCTTCTCTATATTATCTATAAGTGTGGGAAATTTCATACTCCTCCGTTCGCGCAATTTTCGTACAATTTTTTTTCTTCACCTATTAATATATAGATGAAAAATATGATTATCATCCTAGTTTAACTATTTCTGCTGAGAAGTAACCATGCGTTCCAGCTCGAAGAGTTTTTTTTTTTTTTTTTACTTTATCCAATACAATTCAGACTTAGACCTCATTTTTTAAGTTGCATGGCGGAATTCACTTTGTGATGTCCAGGTACCGGTAACCGCTAAACATCTTATGAACTGTGACCTTGGTGGACCATTTAATGCTATAAAAAGGCCTTTTTTCCTGTAGCGAAACTATAGCACAGATGTGTGAGTAAAATCAACAAAATATCTACCTACTATACTGACTTCGACAAATTACTTGAATTGACTAACATGGATTTCCATTACCGCTTAACACCATGTGAGTCGTGAGTTTGTTCGATAATCTAGTGCAATAAACAAATACTTTACGCCTTACCTATAAATGTATTTCAACTATCTATTTTAGGCTTATGCACTTGCCATGAACACTAAAATACTCTGACAAAAAGGTGTTGATACTTACTATGAAAACATCTCACGTAATACCCACACGTTATAAAGAATAATAAAATTATTCGTGTTAATTCTTACACATCAAAACATTATAACTGTTTATTTGATTTCAGTTTAATTCACCTACTCCGAGTTATAAATAGCCGAGAGGCCATTGAACCTATCGACTACGATTTTTTTTCTTATAATTGTCGTTTTAAGACGGTTACGAAATTAACGTGAGATTTGAATTTATAAAATAAATGAAAATATAATTCTATTGGTACTCAGTATGGAAGAATAATACAACTAAGATCTTTAAATGACATTTAGTTAGTGTTCGAATAAACTCTTCTTTCAAACTTAATAATAAGATTTAGGAAAAATCTTTTGAAAATTTCTTAATTTAATAAAGATAAGGTATATTTTGATTCCATTGCTACCCTATCAAGTCATTTCACAGCGGCGAAGGAGCATCTTTTACCTACTTTCATTGTTATGTTTCATTAGTTCTTCGTTGATCGTGAAACGTGACGTAGGTTTCAAATGTTGGTTGTTAGAAATTTAACAAAATGAGGTAGGTATTTTGTGTACGCTGCTTATTTTGCTCAAGATTAAAAAAAAAACAAAAAAAAAAAACAATTGACCTACTTTAAAGATCGAAGATTCCTTAGAAATAGAGAAGTAGTTTAACCTACGAGTTTGAAAGTTACATACACATATTAATTTAGTATTGAATGCTCTGTGTCAACAAGTAGAATAATGAAGCTTAAAACAAATAGTGCTGAAATTTCTTATTAAATATATTGTAATATTATATGTAACGCTTGAATTCGAAAAAATATTGTTATGTATACAAAGATTAATCGACAAAGACGAAAAGTTAATCGTCGAAGAATCGACGTTCTTTATTGTGTACATTTCAAAACACCTGTTGGATGCCGGGTGCCACGGTCACAACTCTATAGTTAATGTTCTAGAAAATTTAGTATCTACTATATAAAAGTCTTTTTATTTACGCTTCACATAAAATAATGTTAATAAATACGTAGATAATTAATTAATGATAAATTATGTTAACGTACCTACTAGTTTTTGGCTATTATTAACAAGGGTAGTAATCTGTGCTGAGTGGTTTGACAGTTTTTATACTCTATGCAATGATTTCGGATTGAAGTAGTCGGGAGCTTCGCTAGAAGTAATAGTGTTCTGTGGTCGGGAGGTAGCATCGTAGACAAGCAACAGTTTTCAACTCTGGTCTGAACTGATGGAAGGAAAAAATACTAGAAGGTCCAAGGAATAAAAAATACTAGGGACCATATTAAGCGATAAACTGTAAATATTCTGCAAACTAATGGTCTCCGATGAGGCTATTCATTGAAAAGACAACGTATTTTATTATCTAAAACGTATGATACCTAATTCGCATGCGAATCGTGTAAACAGCGAAAGCACATTGTCTGAGACTTTCACATTAGTAGGCAGACAGCCTTTCGTTAGAAGAAAATCATCCGGATAATACGTAATACTAAGAAAATAAACATGACCCGTCACACATTTTTAAAGTATTTATCTAAAAACTGTTTAAAAAAGAATATTATATGCGTTATATGATAGGTAATTAATTGCGAATTTGAATTAGTACATCCAGACGCTTAACTTAGAAATAAAAAAAAAACTCAATCACAAAATAATGTTACAAAATAAATTACAAGAATGAAAGAAGACGTTTACAACAAAAAACGGCGTCGATTCCTTTAATTAACTCACCATTAAGAGAGAGAGATGAGTTAATAACTGTTTTATCTGAAATTCTTATCGACCAAGGGCGCCCGAGGTTATGAGAACTTTCACTAAAGTTTGGCTTCCCATTTTAAAGACATTGTGGTTTTCTTTAGACGGCTAAATAATTATGGAAGCTTATTTTCTCGAAATATAAAACTCGAAGGCGGAGTAAAGGTTTTAACTGCGCCTCAATATTTGCATTGTTCGTAAAGATTACATTGTACTGTGGGTTGTTAAGTTTATTATATGTAACCGGTTAACCACAAAATGTTCTTCTTGCTTTCACGGTTTGTTATCGTCACAACGTGTTTCTGATAGTGGATCACGTAATCATTTCATTGTCCATTATATTTTGGATTATTCTAACATCGTGCATACATACATTAATATGAATTAATGGGGGTTTAGTCATCGTTTTATACATATATATTTTCCTGGCAACATTTTGATTAATGAAGCCGAAGTGTCAGAGGTCTCCTTTGTTCTATTTTGTATTCCGAGTTCCGTCCACTGTAGTATTAATTGGTCTCGGGATAGTCACTACATTTTAAACAGGGTCTGTGACCTTTTGTACGTGCAGGTATGATGGGAATCTGTGGAGTTTTTTTCTTCTTCTTTTTTTGGATATATTATTCTTCCTTTGTCTATATAAGTTAGGTGTGATTTGAATTAGTAATGTACGACCAAAAACTCACGTTACCCCCCATACTTAAAATATAAAAACTGGTAAATTTAAACTTATAATTCCAAATGAACCGCTCCGACAATCATTGTTGGAAATAATTTCAAAATTTTATTCATAAAACCGATATCCCTCCGGTTAAAGATAACATATCAAAATGAAGCGACTTCAGTGATACGATCATGACGAGCAAAAAAAAACCGAAACTGCTCCAAGTAACATGTTTGTACTGTGATAAAAATAATAATAAAAACGATTGAACTGAACGACACATGTAATGTATTAAAAGATATAATGGATGGGTAATTAACCAAATGTAGCTAACAAATGTAACAAAATTTAAAAAAAAAGCATTTAAAAGTCCAATAACTTTCGTTTTGCGTTGGAAGGATAACTGGTATCGCTAAGGCCTTTCCAGTTTCGTTAGGACGGGCGAGCATGGACTCAGCCAGGAGGGGTGGAATTCGCTAACAGCTGCCCGAGCGCTTTCGAAGGCCTTACAGCCCAAGGACAGCAAGGGGGAAATGTTAACAGTCAAGGATTCGTTTTTAATATGAACATGTACCTACAATATAGCTACATATCGTCTTCTCGCATTAAAACTGTTTATTCTCAAAACTTACTAATTTTACAGGAAAGTGTTTTAAAGGTTTAACATGTGATATTTTTAATATTAATCATCTTTGCAACATTTATATTTTGATATTTTACCAGTTACATTATCTGTCTTTTAAAGTAAGATAAAGTTATGTATTAATTTTGTTAATGGTAGTAAAAATACAGGTAAACAAAAAAAATATTTAAATTAAACTACGCTCTTTTGACAGTTTTATGAGAAAAATATTGGTGATGCCAAATGATTCCGATATTAATTCAATTTTGAATATTTTTGGAAATTGTAGACTTATAATGCGAAAAGACGATAGTCAACTTTTCTCGAAACATATTTTATATTGATATTTCTCAATAATAATTACGATTAATTAATGTATTAAACAAAATTATATTATGTATTAAACAAAACACAGAACCCTAATAGTAGGTACCATGGCTGATATCATCAATGATACAATTTAAATCATCGATCAAATACAACAATAATATTGAGGTTGTTCGTTACAAATCGAAATGAGAAAGCGTAACAAGAATTTTAAATAAGTCTCGGGCGTGGAGCTACGTTCGTCTGAAACAAGTTCTTTTGTTGATAACGCTACAGAAACGTCTGGCCTGTGTCGTTGACTCCAGTTGCATTTTTATTGTACACTATGTTATAAAATATTTAGCGTATTATACATTGTTATTAATGTCTAGTTCAACTAGAAGTAAATATTTTATGGTGCGCTCATTTATTTTATTGCGTTCATTTAAAATATGTAGATCTAATTACTTAGGTATCTAGTGCAACCGATTAGACACCAATGTTATTTCATATTACATAATGAAAGTGACATTTCGTATCGCAGATGGGTAGGGTAAAGGCACAATAAATTTACATTAGATAAAAATATTTAAGCAAAGACAATAAAAGCAAATTTATTTAAGATAATTTTAATGTTTACTGAAGTATGAAACGGTTTTCGGTAACTGTATAATGCTTGTGGCGCCATTGCTAACGAAATAAAAATGAAAATACTTTGCTAAGCCAGTACGATAACGTGGTGCCGTCGTGCCGCAGACGATAATTTAGCCAGTAATCACTTCAATTATCTTATGAAATCAGGGTCGCAAGCGATAACTCACTAGTCACATCGGTCTTTGTCTTGATTGTCAAACTATTTTCAATTTACATAACAATTAGCGCGCTTATTTAAGCCGAATTTAGAAACCTTGGTTTCGGTAGTTTTTTTTTGTCTGGAAATTATTATTTATTGTTTATAAAATTGGTTGCTTTTGTATCTTACCGTTGAATGTGTCGTATGCTGTTGGCTGATATTCTTCCCGGAACGTGTCCTGCGCGTATGCCGCTATCAAAGAACTTTTGCCAACAGCTCCATCACCAACCAACACACACTTAATTTTTTGTTTCTTTCCACCTTTCACCTTCCTTTTGTCTCTTATTTGAAACATTCGATTTAAAGTTCGCCTGTTCTTCTTGTCCCGCACTGCCCAGTCGTTCACTTTATCACAACAGTTTAAGTCCTCTGAATNCCGGAACGTGTCCTGCGCGTATGCCGCTATCAAAGAACTTTTGCCAACAGCTCCATCACCAACCAACACACACTTAATTTTTTGTTTCTTTCCACCTTTCACCTTCCTTTTGTCTCTTATTTGAAACATTCGATTTAAAGTTCGCCTGTTCTTCTTGTCCCGCACTGCCCAGTCGTTCACTTTATCACAACAGTTTAAGTCCTCTGAATCATCATCGCGTATCACAGTACGACCGTTCTCTTCGGTCACTTCGGAATAATCGTAATCATCGTCGTCTTTTCTGGGGATGGGGAACTGACTCGGACTGTGTATTCCGAAAACAAAAGGTCCGTCGCGTTCCGGAGGACGAGTGGCTATCCCGTTTGCTGGAATCGGAGGTTTCGCATAATGCACTGTCGGAGCTCGGTATTGTGCTGTCGAGTATTCCGTGGGTTCGTGGTTATCGAACCTGAACACGAGTTCTGCTTCTCGTCTGTCCAAATTCAATTCGGGAGGAGTTACTTTGTCTTGAAAATAGCTGATTTTCTCTCGGGCACGTGACTCCTGCAGCCTCTTTTCAAGTTCGACATTCGATGGTTTCCTGTAATCGGTTCGATAATCGGGCAGGTTTCTCGGCGCCGGCAGAGGCCGGTGTGGGCCAATGTCGCGGGGCGGTACGCGCGGAACCACCACCGGAGGCTTTTGCGGTTCCGCCAACAGTGGTCGGCGTGCCGACAGATTTGTGTTCCTGTTGAACATCATGCCTTCCAGGCTAGGAGACATTTGTACTGTCACGAATGTCTACCAACTAAAAAATTACCGAAGCGTGCGTTTGCGCACATCACTCGTGTTTTATATTTCGTAGGATTGTTCGAAAGTTACGCGCGACTCTAAACTAGCGCTCCAACAGAGCGTGCTCTCACAGCGACGTTCGGAGCGCGACTGGCAAATGATTTTCAAACGAGCAAATTCAAACAATTCAACAAAAGATAGTTTTAGCCGGAGCCGCACCGAGCTAAGGCCCGACTTGCGAGCCGTGGAAATGACCTGTTGCTTCTGTTACCTGTTCAGGTTCGAACGACCGTTCTGCAAGCGAGCAGCTGCTGCTTGAACAAAGAGCGTCGCATGTCCCGGCGGTCACATTCGAACCCATTCAACAAAACGGACGATGAATGAGCATTAGCCTCGCCACGACGTGTTCTGTTTACACAATTTTCATTGTTTATTTATAAAGTGCGCTATGATATAAATGAAGTAGCAAGACATCATTAATTTTCATACCTTCATTCATGGAGGCACCCACCGAGATATGCCTGATTCAGTGCATTAAATTAAGTTTAATTTCAAGTCAACCAGTATTCGGGTGCGGACATAGACATAAGACATAACAGTATTAATCGATTGGATTCATACTAAAAAATATTGTTTCTCAAAAATGGACACAGAACACGTTACAAAATGAATTGTTTTTAAATTCTATAACCTAAATATAAAATAGGTAATCGTGTCTCGCAGAACTGTTCATAAAATATGATTTGTTAACATTTTTACTTTTAAATTATTAAATTAATAATTTATAATTAAAACTGATACAAATTGCGTCAGTATTTCTAATTTTCTAGGCATAATACTTCATGAATAACTTTAAGTGAAATTTCAGAGGTAGGTAAGTACCTCAGTTGAAAACCAATAAAAAAATCCCTGGCAGTAGGGAGTACTATAGAACCGCAGGGGTAGGTAGCACCGTCTTGCCCATTTCTACCGCGAAATTGTCGTATTCCGGTTTATGGTTTCCGATTGAGGCTTCGACCTTATTTCTCAAGTGTGACGCCATTCACGTTGTGAGGTCTATGGGCTTCGGCAGGGACGTCTTAAACTAGACTGGGGCCCTTGGGCACACAAGAATTTCAGGCCCTTTTGGAAAGTAAAAAAAGCGAATTATAATAACATTTTTTTATTGAGTATGACCATTTATCATAGGTAATCTAATACAGTATGATATAATAATATTAATTATATTAGAATGCTGCTGGTTTTTTGGTTACGATTACGATAATGGTTTCTTTCGGGATTTCTGTTGAGCAAAATATTCCATTATATCTTTAAAGTAAATTTTTTGAAGGATATCACTTTCTATACCCATAATTGACAAACTACTCAGCCGTTCTTGTAACATTGTTGTTCNATAGGTAATCTAATACAGTATGATATAATAATATTAATTATATTAGAATGCTGCTGGTTTTTTGGTTACGATTACGATAATGGTTTCTTTCGGGATTTCTGTTGAGCAAAATATTCCATTATATCTTTAAAGTAAATTTTTTGAAGGATATCACTTTCTATACCCATAATTGACAAACTACTCAGCCGTTCTTGTAACACTGTTGTTCGCAATTCATTTTTTATTCTCTTAAGCTGCGAAAATGACCGCTCTCGACTACAATTGGTAACCAAATTGTCGGTTCTTCGGGGCCCCCTGAGAATGGGGGCCCTGGGCACGGACCCGTGTGCCCTTATGGTAAAGACGGTATTGGGCTTCGGTAACCACTTTATAACAAGGGGGCCGTGATCCCGTTCGTCCATCCAAGCTGAAGTAATATAAGTATAATTAATCAATGTAATATAGCAAAAATACACAAAGTATAATAAAATAACTTTATTACTTGACTTTAGTGGAAGTTTAAAATAAATAACCGTTTAAAAAATCAAAAAAACAAGAGAAAATTTATTATATTTTTAACTTCAGTTACAAAACTGTGGTTTCTTGGTTTTTTAAAGTACCTATTCTTTGTTTTAGCTTTTAGTCTTTAAAGACAATAATTTCATAGTAAATAGAAACTATCTAGCTATCGTACCTATATCAGGAGGGTAGAAGGGACGTAAGGCTTAGGTAGTTCTAGCCTTAGTACGTGGCACAAGACACAATCGTGTTTTCAACGTTAATCCTGAGGATCAGGATGATCGGACAATTTTAAAATATTAAATTATCATCGGTTCTTGATCAGTGAGCCAAGTTTCAAATCAATACCACATTTTGAAGGGGTGAAAATCACGTTCAAAGATTCCATTATATACCTACATACCAAACCAAGCCAAAAATATGGTATAATTTTCAAGGTTATAAAAAGCTATTTCACAGTGTTGCAAAGCAATAAATCACATTGACTTACTGTTCGAAAGTTATGAACGATAACAGTAAGAAGCATCACCTCATTGTATTTAAAATTTCTGCTCAAGGAGACAATTAAGGTGGCGCTTTAGTAGCAAGTGGAAAGATTTTTTTTGGTAGGTAGCGGGCTTGGCTCTGCCCCTGGCATTTTTGAAGTCCATGAGCGACAGTAACCACTCACCATCAGGTGGGTCAATAAATAAATAAAAGATTTTACAATTAGCACTTTAATCTATTATGAGTAGGATATAAATTAAGAAGGAAAGAAACACTGCCTGCTTAAATAGTAATAAACGTACATAATAGAGGAAATTTTAAATACTGCATATTTTTTATCTACACAAATCACGAAAAAAATATGTTTATTTTTAACCCAGCTGAAGCACTCTACCACTACTACCACACCATTTTAGCGAGATCGAGTAAGAAACCTAATACTCAAAAAACAAATTTTTGAGAATTTATTGAGATTACAATTAACGATTTGAAGAAATTTGTAATTTTATTTCATTTTCCTACAATTCTGTTCTTTCATGAATACTAAAAGGTTAATAAGTCAACTACGTTTAAACATGAAGATACACCTAAATTATTAACAAAATAAAACCGTTCTCACAACTCAGATCCTGACGTACCCGCCAAAAAATCTACCATTTTATCATAGACCTATATAGACTTCAGTGCATTTTATTTACTAAATCCTGTTTAATAGACGTCAGTGAGAGGTCAATGTCATGAAAATATGTTCAATTTTCAACATACAACATGATACTATCGAATTGTCCCTCAAGACGTCAAGACAAAGACCATAGCAGGAGGCAAAAAGCATTTGTTACGTTTGCTTGTATTCTTCTTCCTCTGTTTCTTTAGTTAATTAGGCTCCCAACGATTAGATAGGGGGAAATATTAACAATGATGTGAAACTAAATAAGATGAAGTTGATTAATTTCAGACTTTAACTAATTAGCATGAAATTAATAGCATGAACTTTTTCAGTGGACTTTTTGGAAGAATCCGTGAAGCTATGGCCAGTGACTTTGTTTCAATTTTCTACATGTGGGCACTTTCACAAATGCTAAACCGTTAATAAATAATTCACACAACTTAGTTCCTCCTGTTGCCGATTTGTTGTTGTCGATTAGGTAAACACTATTAATAAAATAGTAATTGTATGATGCGATCTCATGGTTCACATCATAGATAATATTTAAGTACACATTTTTCTATTTCATCTATGGCATGCACAGATTATACAAATATACGAAATTAACACAGCTGTAACCATATTAAGTGTATAATCTATGGCTGTAACACACTTAAACACACGCGGGGACTTTTTGGCGGGAACGCGAGGAGTGAAGTTGTGTGATTTGTTTTATTTTGTCTATTTAGTGTTTCTTCAGGTTTAAATGTGTAATAATGGTGGTTTATTAACTGTTTAATATCTGTGAAAGTGCACAAATGTGGGAAAATGAAACAAAGCTGCTTGACGTAACTTCTCGGGTTCCTCCAAAAAGTCCACTGAAAAAATCTCAGTAAATGACCACCATTTTACTGCGATTATATTTCATCCCATATCATTTCATTTCATTAAATTTCATCTCAGTTGATTAATGTCTCAAATTAATCATTTTCATTTCATTTCACTCCATATTATCATTTTTCATAAAATTAAGAATATAAAGTAAAATAAGACATGACTTAAAGGTCTTAGTTACCAGGTCATAAAATCTCTTAAAAAAAAAAAAACACACGCGGTTAAATTAAATAAAAACCTATGACAATTTGAGTTTACAACAATTGGAGGTTTAAAAGTAATGAGCTATAGGCAGATAACACCCATTTCATCTAATAATTGACATATGGTGTTACTGTAAAAGTTTGTTTTTTATTATATATACATTCAGATATGGCAAAATTTAAACTCAGTAAGTACCTAATATACAAATAGTCCTTTTATGTTAAAACTGAGGTTCCAATGTGAATAACTATAAATTAACTGTATCTTCAATAAACGTATTGATAATTTGCATTTTTAAACCTTAGATCAGCTTCTAAATCCTTTCATTTAAGTTGAAAATTTATAAGGTTAGGTATCTTAGGTTATGTTTTGAAAATCGTGTATAATTAAACCTAAAATTTTCATTCAACTCCAATCAACAGAAAAACCTTCAAAACGTCAACCAGCACGTCTTCGATACAAAATAGAAAAAAAAGTGAAAGAGCATAATCGTAAACAACGTAAAGAAGCTAAAAAGAATCCTAAATCTAAGAAAACCAAGCCAATTCAAATTCCGAATATATGTCCATTTAAAGAAGACATACTGAAGGAAGTTGAAGCTGTGAAAAAGCATAAAGAGGAAGAAAGACAAAAGAGAAAAGAACAAGCAAAATTAGACAAACAAAAAAAGTTAGAAGAGAAAAAGAATGAAAAAAGTAGCACCAACCTGAACACATTGGTAAGGTTCAATAATTCATGACAATGGTTTCATAACTAAGAGCTCTCAACCCATTAATATTGTAATGAAGTATATTAGAAATGCGTTTTGGATTGAAGGGTGGAGCAGCTATTATACTCTATAACTGAGATTTCAAAATTCATGTCTCAAGATAGGTGGTGGCGTTTACGTTGTAGATACTTACCACCAGGTGAGCCATGACCTCATCCACACATCTAAGTAAAAAAAAGACATTAATTTCAGGCTTCAAGCTTAAATACCTTTATTCTTGTTAAGAATACAAAGGTCGCTTACTTGAAAAAATCTAATAGTATAGTAATTTTAGTAACAAAATTGATACATGAAATAACATTAGATATATTTAAAATTATTTGAACTAAATAGCATGTATTAAAGTGAATGTGAGTCATCTAAAATATTAAAAAATATGCTGGTAGGGGAAGACAAGTTACAGTTGACAATTTAAGAAATTATTTTGAAACAAAGAATTATGTAATGTGGTCATGAGATAATTATAGTGTGAAATAATTTTAATTTTTTACTCCAGTTGCTGTTGTAAATTACCATAATAAAGTTTTTATTGAAATTAAACCTTTCATTATATATTCTTGTATTAAAAAAGTAGTTGTTGTTAAATTTGAAATAAAATATATTGAACAATCAATTAAAAGCTCTTATAAAACATATTTTCAGGTTACAAATGCACAAGCTCGAGGAAAAGTGCATGAAGCCTTCAATGGAGATAGTCAACCTTCTCAAGACATTGAATTTGGAAAAGACAGGAAGCAGGAAAATTCACTCAAAACATATTATAGAGAATTTAAAAAAGTCATTTCTGAAGCTGAAGTAATACTTGAGATTGTTGATGCAAGGGATCCTTTAGGTACATAATTAAATTTTTAATTTTTTATATTGCTTAGATGGGTGGACGAGCTCACAGCCCACCTTGTGTTAAATGGTTACTGGAGCCCATAGACATCTATAATGTAAATGCAACACCCACCTTGAGATATAAGTTCTAAGGTCTCAACTATAGTTACAACGGCTGAACAACCCTTCAAACAGAAACGCATTACTGCATCACGACAGGAATAGGCAGGGCGGCGGTACCTACCCGTGCGGACTCATAAGAGGTCCTACCACCAGTAATTACGCAAATTATAATTTTGCGGGTTTGATTTTTATTATACGATGTTATTCCTTCACTGTGGAAGTCAATCGTGAACATTTGTTGGGTACATATTTCATTACAAAAATTGGTACCCGCCTGGGATTTGAACACCGATGCATCACTCAACAGGAATGCACCAGATTTCTTATCCTTTAGGCCATGACGACGTCAATACATCAAATGCATCAAATCAAGTTCCTACAATATTATGAGTGACCCTCCATGGTTCCGGTAGTATAGCTTAACTTAACAATATTTTCATATTCACAATTAGTTTTCCACTCACTTCACTTGTCACATGTTTACTATATCTTTGTAAGATACATTTTCATTTAAATGCATTCAGAATAGAGTAAAACATTAGGTAGTTATAAGGTCCTATCTAAAATTTTTCATCATCAATCTTTACTTAATAACAAAAAAAAACTCAAATAGGAACACGGTGTATACAAGTAGAAGAGGCAGTTCGAGAATCAGGGAAACGTCTTGTGTTAGTGCTCAATAAAGCAGATCTCGTCCCCCGGGACAATCTGACAGCATGGTTAAAGTATTTAAGACAGTCTGCACCAGCAGTTCCATTCAAGGCCTCTACTCAGGATCAGCAACACAATCTTGGAAGGAGAAAGATGAAGCATATAGTCAAAGAGAAAGAAATGAAGGGTAATTCTCAATTTGGTTTTCTCTGTGTTATGAAACTAATTATGAATAAGATTGAAATATTTTTTTTTTTGCTTAGGTGGGTGGACGAGCTCACAGCCCACCTGGTGTTAAGTGGTTACTGAAGCCCATAGACATCACGCAAATGCGCCACCCACCTTGAGATATAAGTTCTAAGGTCTCAAGTATAGTTACAATGACTGCCCCACCCTTCAAACCGAAACGCTTTACTGCTTCACGGCAGAAATAGGCAGGGTGGTGGTAACCACCCGCGCGGACTCACAAGAGGTCCTACCACCAGTAAAAACTTAATTAACAATGCTATCTTCATCTTTTTTACTACTAATAACTATTCTCGTTTGTTAATCCCGGGACTGCCAATCTCCAAGAAGTGTTGACATCAGACATATCTAATGTCACTCCGATTGACTGTTAACCCGTAGTTAAACTAAATGTAGAAATGAAAAGTGATAAAGAACAAAATACAAATTGCTTATGCCAAATCCACATTAGTTAATCGTGTTAAATAAATATTTCTTTCTCAAATCAATAAAAAATCAGTAATCTGTTACCTCAAAAATGGCTTAATAATTAATATAAAAATAATATCATAAATATGTTACATGACATTGTGTAAGTTTTTGACATATGCTCCAATACAATACTCGAAAAACATTTAAAAATTGTCTTGTTCTGTCTTTGCTCACAGACTCATGAATTTTCAGTGTGTTTCAGTATTGAATGAGATTTTGAAAAATTTTCAAATTCATGGTGTAGACAATTTAAGTTTTTTTTATCCTGTATAAATAAATGAATTTTAGCATAATGTCATCAAAGACTTTGAATTTATAGGCAGTGCCAGAATCTCAGCTTTTCAGTATTATTAAATTTAAAGGGTTTTAAATAAATAAATACTTCCAGGTTCAGCATGTGTTGGTGCAGAGTTACTAATGAGTCTTTTAGGCAACTATTGTCGAAATAAAGGCATTAAAACATCAATCACAGTTGGTGTTGTGGGACTCCCAAATGTCGGAAAGAGCTCTATAATCAATAGTTTGAATCGGTCCAAAGCTTGTAATGTGGGAAGCACTCCTGGAGTAACTAAGTAAGAGTCACAATTTACTTATCTTTATTTATAATATAGATTGAATATTCAAGATCTTAGAATGCACAAGCTATCGTTACTACTGTATTAAGAACATTGGAATCTTACAATAGTTTTACCTTGCATACCTTGCAGTCTAGGTCTGATTTCTGGTCACAGTACCTTTTGTGAAAGTGATTACGTATTTTGGATTTGAATGTACTGGTTCTTGTCTCTTCTTGTCTCATGCGTTTCCAGCACACAAGAGATCTTTAACCTAGAGTTGTTGAATGTGGAATGATTAAGTTTTTTTTATTCTTTATTTTTTATTGCTTAGATGGGTGGACGAGCTCACAGCCCACCTTGTGGTTACTGGAGCCCATAGACATCTACAACGTGAATGCGCCACCCACTTTGAGGTATAAGTTCTAAGGTCTCAGTATAGTTACAATGGCTACCCCACCCTTCAAACCAAAACGCATTACTGCTTCACGGCAGAAATAGGCGGGGTGGTGGTACCCTTCCGCGCGGATTCACAAGAGGTCCTACCACCAGTTAACGTAACATAAGTTATGCAATAAATTAATTGACCTGCAAAATATGATATGCTTAAGTGAAAAGCGATCATTATAATGAAGGTTTAAATGTGTTTAAATTTTATATAATTGTCAGTTAATGAGTATCACTGTGGTTAATGCCTTTTTTATTTGAACACTTTTCTGGTTACCTATGTAAAATAGTTGTCAAATAATCTCTGGCCCAATGCCTAAAAAAATTGTAATTTTACACAGGCAAATGCAAACTGTTCAACTAGATTCAAAGATCAAAATCCTGGACAGTCCTGGTATAGTATTCCAATCAGGCCCGGAGAGTGATTCAACGGTAGCACTCAAGAATGCTATCCGCGTTGGCAGCCTGAAAGACCCAGTCACACCGGCTACAGCTATCCTACAGAGGGCTAATAAGCAAACCTTACAAGATTTGTATAGAATACCAGACTTCAGTACACCTCAGGTGAGTGAAATTCGTAATGTCGCAAGTTTCTTGGTTATATATATATAAGCATTTTGTACGTTTTCAGTGATGATTTATTTCACGTACTATCTTACACTGGAAATAAACTCCAATCCTCAGTATTCCCTGTGAGTTCTATGATATGAATTTTATCAGCATCAGGGAGCATTTTAGTCTTGTAGTTGCCTGTGAGTGATTGTGATTAATTGGGCCTGTAGTTCATCAAACTTTTTAAATAATATTAAATAAAATATGTAGGTATTTATTTAAGAATTAAGCTAACCTGTTAACATGCTAAAGTGTTTTTGTTTCAATAGGAATTCTTTGCGCAACTAGCACAACGAATGGGAAGGTTCAAAAAAGGTGGAGTTCCAGACCAAGAAGCAGCTTCTAGAATATTGCTCAATGACTGGAACATTGGTAAAGTATGTATTAATTTTATTTATACTAAATTAAAAATATAATAATAATTATTATTTTTATTGCTTAGATGGGTGGACGAGCTCACAGCCCACCTGGTGTTAAGTGGTTACTGGAGCCCATAGACATCTACAACGTAAATGCGCCACCCACCTCGAGATATAAGTTCTAAGGTCTCAGTATAGTTACAACGGCTGCCCCGCCCTTCGAACCGAAATTCATTACTGCTTCACGTCAGAAATAGGCGGGGTGGTGGTGCCTACCCGCGTGGACTCCCAAGAGGTCCTACCACCAGTAATTACGCAAACTATAATTTTGCGGGTTTAATTTTTATTACACGATGTTATTCCTTCACCGTGGAAGGTAATCGTGAACATTTGTTGAGTACGTATTTCATTACAAAAATTGGTACCCGCCTGCGGGATTCGAACACCGGTGCATCGCTACATACGAATGCACCGGACGTCTTATCCTTTAGGCCACGACGACTACTTAATAAAGTAGATGATCACACTTATGGTCGTGTTTGAAGGGTGGGGAAACCGCTCTACTATAAAACTGAGATATATAACCCATGTCACAAGGTGGATAGCGACATTTACGTTGTTAATGTCTACGAGCTCCGGTAACTACTTAATACCAGGTGGGTCGTGAGCTCATCCACCCATCTAAGCAATAACCACATGGTGTTAAGCTGTCACCCGAATCCATAGACATCAACAATTTAACGTAACCCACATTATATAATTATAATTGAAGACAAGAGTGAATGTAGAGGTTAAGTGGGATTTTTAAGATTTTTGTGTTATTACATTGAATGAAGGGGCTATGTGCCTATAAACCATATTAGACCTTAAAAATCCGGGTTTAAAGGCCAATTTTTAGAAATTGCATGTGATTAAGGAGTTATGTTTGAAGAAAAAGTACTAGTAACAAAAGTTTGTTGTCCATTTTCTCAAAATTAACAAAATGTATCATATCCCCTTCATACAGTCGTGTCTTTACTACATAGTATAAAACAAAGTCGCTTTCTCTGTCCCTATATCTGTCTGTCCCTATGTATGCTTAAATCTTTAAAACTACGCAACGGATTTTGATGCGTTTTTTTTAATAGATAGAGTGATTGAAGAGGAAGGTTTATATGTGAGTCGTCTATTATCAAAGGTGGCAATCTGTGCATTTGGACAAAAAAATGTTATTGATATGTCAATACAGATTGATTTGAATATAATCGTCTCCTTCAAAGAATACGGTTCAAAACCAGCATTAAATAAAGGTTAATACTTAACCTGTTATTTATCTAAGATGTCGTTCAGAAGCGTTTTGTGACTGCCAATGGAATACAAAGTCAATAATTCGTTTTTCTGATTTACTAATAATTGTCCAAAAGTCACATTGCCGGCTTTGATAATAGTCGACTCATGTATAAAAACATCCATTAAATAGTGGAGAAGTCAATAATAAATTACAGTTTGAAGCGAAGCGAGGGCGGGTCGCTAGTCAATTATAATCCACCTAATATGTAAACTTGTTGAAATAACAGGTACGCTATTTCACGGAGCCTCCCGAGACAGCAGACACTGAGATACACGTGGACGCCCAAATCGTGGCTTCCATCGCGAAGGAGTTCGACATCAACTCCTTCGAGGCCATGGAGACTGACATTGTTAACTCACTAAACACAGATTCCACTAAAATTGAACCTATAAAGGTAAGGGTTTATTAAGTGAAACCTTCATAAGTCACAATTATTTGAATGTGGATTAAAAGGAAGAGCGACACTAAAAACAGACAATTAAATATTTCTTCTTCTTCATTTTTTGGCTCTGGCACGGTTTGTGCATTAGCTAGTGTCAAGTAATAAGATTTTTATAATTCGCCGTTTTAATTATTATACAGTTTATGAATGATAAAAAACGAAGGAACATGTCCGCGTTGGCCATTATTAATATAATTGTAAGTATGAATTAAATTGGCAGGGTGGGACGGTATAGATAAATTAGGTTGAGAAAGTAATTTGATTAATGTAGTAATTAACTCTGTAAATGATAATATGAAGTGAAATGAAATGAAGTTGATTTACATTATGAAACATGGCATGAAATGAGATGGGATGAAATATAATCTCAGTAAAATGGTGATCGTTTACTGAGACTTTCTCAGTGGACTTTTTGGACGATCCCGAGAAGTTACGTCCAGCGGTTTTGTTTCATTTTCCCACATTTGTGCATGTTCACAGATACTAAACAGGTAATAAACCACTTTTATTACACATTTATACCTGAAGAAACACTAAATAGACAAAACAAAACAAATCAGACAACTTCATTTCTCGCGTTTCCGCCAAAAAGTCATATTTTATCATTTAACGACGTCATGGTGACATCATTAAACTCCTGTGCATGAGTCCACTTGTTTCAAGTGTATTTAAGTCCTTTGGATGCAAAAGGTAAGAGACCGAAGAGAATGGGGTGAATTCGTAGAGACCTACACTCAGCATTGGGTGGACACGGGTTGAAGATGATGAAGAAGAAACTTCAGACACGAACTCGCCCAATCAATTTATAAACTAACCCAACATGTCTCAAAAAATATATATATTCACACAGTTTCACAAACATAGAGTATTTAATTTTAAACATAAAAATACAGAAAAATTCATTGCGTGCCTCCGCTCCGCCCTACAGGCCGCGAAATATTTAATTATACAATGATGTATATTATATTTTAGAAAAATAAAATTATTCCCAAGTATTTCTTTCACTGTGCGGTAGTTTCTGTTTCGGGAACAATCAAACCACACCCTGTATAGTCTGTACCAAACGATTTCATAGTTTTCTTCCCAGTAACGCGTATTAGCTGTGACATTAAGCCACGAAGGCCACTTGTGTGCTTAGTGCTACAACAGCGCCCTTAGCGGCAAGCGTAGGCAAACGTTCCAATTCCATACAAATTTGAGTAAACTTTTACTCTATCGAGAACGTTAAAAAACTCGCACTAAGCACACTGTACGTAATACCTATTCGATCGTGATGAATATTGTATATTGTACAAACAATATAAGGCGATATGAATTTTGCAATTTTTCACGCTCCACATCTCCTGTATACACGATTCATGCATATGTATATACAGGTGTTCAAACTGGCGTGTGTGTCTTATCGTTAATTATTGTTATTGGTAACTAGTTTTATTTTATAGCAAATCTTGTTTGAATTAACTGAACAGGTGTGCTGCATAAACGCAGTAGTGTATGCACTTGGATTAAAGTCCACACCATCGCATTGGTGCTGTACCGATCCATGGTACTTGGTAGCTGTACTAAAGATTCGAGTTGGGAAGGAAATATTGCAATGAGATATCGAATCTTCGGTCTGTAGTATTATTATATATACATTAATTATGTAAGAATTTTGATAAATATAACATAAGGCGCGTTTATGAGCGGCAACTGCGTAATACAAAAAAATTCAAGCACTGGTCACCGTCACTGAGTTTGTCGCCGGATCTTTTCAGTGGGTCGCGGTTCCGATCCGATGGTAGATTCTGCGAAGCCCTGCTCTTGCTACGGCCAGTGTTAGTAAATTCTCTCAGGTTGAGTAAGAGAGCTAATCTATCAGTCCGGGCGTATCTTGAATAGCTTCTTAGGCTACCAGTGAATAGATAGAAAAAAAAATCTCACTCGCGACTATTAACCACCGTCATCCTAGCCAGAGGCGGATTATCTGTAAGGCAAACTAGGCACGTGCCTAGGGGCGTGTAGTTACAAGGGGCAAACGAGTTCAGAATTTTTAAATAAATAAAGAAAATAATATATCGACGATTAAGAATTAAATGCCCGCCACCGGAGTAGAGTTCATCCATACTACCTGGAGCCACTGCGGTCATCCACAGTGCGTTTCTAGAGATCTTTTTTGCCACGTACCATCCGGCTATGGAAGGAGCTCCCCTCCAGCGGCAGCGGCTTGGCTCTGCCCCTGGCATTGCTGAAGTCCATGGGCGACGGTAACCACTCACCATCAGGTGGGCCGTATGCTCGTCTGCCTACAAAGGCAATAAAAAAAAATGTACTCGTATTATGCAATATTGCGGATTTGTTTGTATTTCATTCGCGCATTAGCGTAAGTACAAGGGTCCTGGTCTACTAAAGTCCAGGGATTGATGATACAGCGTCATCGTAATTGCAAAAACAAGTAGTTAAAATGTATAGTATTATGATGGCCATTTATGGCTGGTACAGGGGCGCCGATAAAGTGATTGCCTAGGGCGCTCTAGACCTTTAATCCGCCGCTGATCCTTACCTTATATCGGATTATTTGATCAAAACTGCCACTTCACAGATCACGAGCACGGGTCCAGTCGCGGCGGTGTTACCGGACAATATGCAAGTCGACGAGGAGGATTCCAGCATGCTGCCCAAAGCACTGAACATACGGAACAGACTCGACAAGACGGGCAAGTCCCAGGAGAAGACGAAGGCGGACCCGGAGATGCTTCTAGAAGGGAACCTCAAACAGAATAAACTGAGGAAAATGCAATTCAAAAAGGACAAGAAGAAGAAGGCGAGGTCCGACAAGCAGGCCGTCGACCTGGCGGGCGTCTTGGAGAACGTTACATTGACTAAGTACCCGAAAGAAGACGCAATAACCACGGACGACTACGATTTCAAAGAAGAATTCTCACTGTAGATCACTTAGTACTCACCATTGGAATATGTTAATCACCAATCAATCTTCGATACATTTTTTACACCCGTAACCACTTAACACCAGGTGGGCTGTGAGCTCGTCCACCCAATTAAGAAAAAAAAACATGTCATAATTTAAAATACTTCATACCCGTATTAAGGTCAATGGCGATCTCTAATCGCGCACGAAATTATAAACATGAATTATTGCAACTAATGTGCCTCTATTTGCCTAAACATTCTGCTCAGTAATCGTGAAGGCATATTTAAAATAAAATAAAAAAAGTGTAATTTAATAGGATAAGGTTTACCATACATTTCGTAGGTTCTTCAAGATATTATTCCCCAGCGTTTAAAAAATAAAGATTCTTAAAGATATGTATTTTTTTGTGACCCTGGGAACTTTTGTTCTTCGAATCAACAGAAATTGTAAATAAAGTCGATATTTCAATCATCAATGATACGTAATTATTTTTGTGAAAAAAACCCACGTATTTATTGTTCGCAAATTCGTGGGCCTTATCTGTTAAATAATGTATACAGCACGACAATTGTGTGAAGTGGAAATGTTAATTAAAACGCAATGAAACTGAATATAAAATGGTTTTATTTTTACGTAATTAACGTTTTATCTTTCTAAATGCCTTACTTGTTGCCATTATTAATGTTATTTTTGTTACCATACAATCAATACATTTAAGGTGTATTGACTTTACGAAATAACTAATATACAGGATAGATTCCCACGTCATTACGGATCCTCCCGATCCATTAACGGTGCTTTTAGGTACCACAAGCACTGGTCACCGTCCTCGTCGAACCCGTCGCTTGAGACGAAGGACTCTACGAGCGAATTAACCCACGGACACAGCCCACTGAGTTTCTCGCCAGATCTTCTCAGTGGGCCGCGTTTCCGATCCGGTGGTAGATTTTGCAAAACACTGCTCTTGCTAGGGTCAGTGTTAGCAACACTCCGGTTTGAGCCTCGTGAGCTCACCTACACGTTACGGTGAAGCTGAAATAGCCTCTCAAAGCTCTCAGGATAGATAGGAAAAAAAACTGATTCCTGGTTTTGAACCTTGAACAACTACCTACTTAGAAATATGGGTAGGGATACTGATAGTTTTAGATACCTTTATAATTTTTATAGATGACGCTCGAATAGTGAAAGACTTCTATAACAAACGGAAAGTAATTGCTGGAGCCCATAACAACAGAACATGAATATCGTCACCCACCTTGACATGTTAAGTTGAAGTCGCTATTGTATTCTGTAGCTCATTAAAACCGAAACCCAGGACTGGTTTGCGGCAGATGTAGGCTAGACGAAGGTGTCTAACTGTGTGAGCTTGGTGATAAGATAATCCCACCACAAGAAATTACGAAAATTTATTAATTTCGTTACTGAAGTTAAGTCGTCGTGGCCTAAAAGATAAGACGTCCGGTGCATTCGTATCTAGCGATGCACCGGGGTTCGAATCCCGCCGGCGGGTACCAATTTTTTCAATTACGTACTTAACAAATTTTCACTGTAAAAAATGTTACTGAACCATGCATTCGATTGACTTGAAACTTGGTATCCATGTAGAAAATACATGTACTTAATGGATAGGCTAATTAATATTTATATGAGTGTTGGACTCCCTACACCAGTTGCGGGGGCGTTAATGATGAGAATGTTTGGGGATGAGAAATAATAATGTTAATTTTAAATGCCTAGCGAAGTGAGCGGGTACGGCTAGTCGTGTTATAAAAATCAAACCTGAAAAATTGTAATTTGCGTAATTTCCGGTGGTAGGACGTTTTGTGAGCGTGGTTGGACGTTTGTGGACCGATAGAAATGCAACTTCTTCTATCGGTCCACTGTTAGATATAGGCCTCCCCCAAGCTTCGCCACAAAGACCGGTCCTGCGTTGCTTGCATTCAGCGGATCCCCGCGAACCTCAAGAGTTGTCGGTCCATCTTGTGGGAGGTCGCCACTCAAGAACTTTCCGGCACCAACGGCCATCCGTTTTCCGAGCAATGTGTCCTGCCCACTGCCACATCAACGTCGCAATCCTTTGGAAAGTTTGCACGGGTAGAAATAGGCAGTATTTGTATTACAAATACTGCCTATTTCTACCGCGAAGCAGTGTGAGTATCGGTTTGAAGGGCGGGATAGTCGTTCTATAATTAGTTTAGTTACTCTGGCGACGCTAGTTGCCGCTTAATAAACGTGGGCTTTGACTCGTGCTTGAACTAGTCTAATCATCTACCCAAATAAGAACATACCCAGTTAAAGGATTTCAATTTCGCCCCCATTCGGTGTCTTTATTCTGAAAGATAATTAGTATTTTTAATGGATTACCTATAAGCTCAACTACTATTCAGTACACGATTTGCAGTTTTGTGTCTTAATGTGGACATTACTTTGATTATATTCAAAGGGACATTATTTAGAATATTTAGAATAATTTAGATATCGAGTATCGACATTCGAAAGCATCGACACGTATTTAGATATCTTACATCCCGTTTTGTCTAAAACATAGATAATATTAGTATCTCTTTCTAATGTCATGTGCAATTCTGATTGGTGGTTTGCTTATGAACAAGAGATTGACACTCCAGCAGAATATTCTGGCAAAATAAGTTATCATTTAAATGTTTGAAAACAGGTGTAAAAATATATTTGAACAATTTGTTTGATTCTCATTAATAGTGGTTATAAAAAATTGAGCTATATTTGTAGATTATTAAATTTATATTGTCGTATAGGTTCATAGCTTTGCTTTGGAATTTAATTTTAAATTTTCCCGCTATCACCAGCAGCACTTTCATGAAGTGTGTTCATTATTTATTGGTCAATGTTGAGCCTATAGGAACGTTCCATCTGTCTGTCGTCGTAATTACGTTTACATTAAATTGTTTTAATGTTTTGTCACGCTTACACTCGTATACTCAAACGTCCCAAAATTTATACCTGTTTCTAGTTCAGTACACGTAATAGCATTACGTGGGATAGTCTTTCTTTTTTACTCTTAAGCAAATTGCTGGAATGAAACAGAGACAGTGAATTCAAGCAGGTCGCAAGCCGGTCGAAGTAATAATAGTGCATTCGCCAAATATTGAAATTATTCGTGGCCTGTCTTTTGTTGAAGAAGGTGGTACTGTGAATCGAAAATGAAAGCTGTTGTACTGGTCGTTGTCAGCTTGCTGGCATTATCTTCGATAAATTGTGATGTATTCTTTGAGGAGAAGTTTCCTGATGGTAAGTAAAGTACATACATCAAAAACACTGCTTTAATTGAAGTGCCGGTGCGCCGCGTGTATTGATTTAGCAGCCATCGGATGCCGGTTTATTGTGCTAATAAGAATCGTTTACTTCTAGATTCGTGGGAAAGCAATTGGGTGTACAGTGAGCACCCAGGAAAAGAATTTGGAAAGTTTAAATTGACTGCTGGAAAGTTCTTCAGCGACCCAGAGGATGACAAAGGTAAGTTCTAAAAGTACCTTCTTAGTTGTCCTTAGTGCAGGGGTCTATGTGACAGTACATCATGAATGTAACCCTAAGTTGGACGACGAACCAGTTTCATTTACAAAAAATTGAACTCTTGCTTAAATTCACCAAACCGCACTTAACACGTCATGGTTGCTATAAATGTATTGCAACATGTTGAGTTCAATGAACTACGACCGAAAGGTAGCGATGTGAAAATAAAATTCTTACAATACTCCTCCTAATAGCGAGATTGTTTCAGGTTTGAAAACCTCTGAAGATGCGAGGTTCTATGCTCTCTCCCGTAAGTTCAAACCGTTCAGTAATGAGGGTAAACCCTTGGTCGTCCAGTTCACTGTCAAACATGAACAAGACATTGACTGTGGAGGCGGATACCTTAAGGTCTTTGACTGCAAACTGGAGCAGAAGGACATGCACGGAGAGACCCCATATGAGATTATGTTCGGCCCTGACATCTGTGGTCCAGGAACCAAGAAGGTGAGAAATAAACAAAAATTACAACTTCTTTCTATATGTTATTGCTGGTTAGAATGTGTTTAGTAAGTAGACTACAGAGTTTCATTAGACTACAGAGACTGATAAAATGTAATCGAATGAGGGATTAGATTTTGACAAAATATACTGTAATATAAGTATTTTGTAATATTTGTGTAGTACATTAAAAATAATATAAATATTATAAATAAATTATTTGGGTAGATAAAATTTCATAACTCCTAATGAATGGAATTGAATTTCTGGTGAGAAAGGCTTTTATTTGTTGATTTGAAGTCAAATTAAATATGCATTAATTTTGATAATTTAACCATAATTGTGTTTATATTCTTTGATCGTGGCATTTATAGTAAATAACATTAGCATGAACTAATGTAAGTACATATTGTATACTTGAAAAGTTTTTTTTTAATCTAAATTGATAAGGGTTATTAAGGATGTAATTTTAAGTTTTTTAAGCAATGAAATACATTAGTGTAGTAAAAAAAAACATTTTAATTGATGTTGTTTGTACATGTGTTATCATGTTTAACACTTTTAAAAAAAAGTAAATTATTTAAATAAAATATGCACAGAATTTATAACAGTTCTCAAATTAAGTAATTACTGAATTTATAGGTTGTTGTTACAAGCAAGCAATGTATATGTACAAACATTCCTCATCTCTCTTATCAATTCATGTATCACTGCTAAAGCGATAATTTCGATTTAGGGAGTACAATAGCCTCTGTCTACTTCTACTCTAGTAACTTTCATTATAATAAAGATATTGATCCCATAACAGGAAATAATAATTTGTTTCTTTTATACACAGGTACACGTAATCTTCAGCTACAAGGGTAAGAACCATCTTATCAAAAAAGATATCCGCTGCAAAGATGATGTCTACACACATTTGTACACTCTGATTGTGAAACCTGACAACACCTATGAAGTCCTCATTGACAATGAGAAAGTTGAATCTGGCGACCTAGAGGCCGATTGGGACTTCCTTCCGCCTAAGAAAATCAAGGTGAGTTATCTTGTGGCAGGATTTTTTTTTTGTGTGCCCTTAAAATTTACTGGCTCATGATAATTGACTTATAATAATTGAATTATGTGACTCACTTGTAATTAAAGCTACCTACGTTTTTTTAACTTCTACATAAAATAAATTGGCACAAAAAGCTAAAGTAATATGCATATTATGCCAAAACTTTAATGCCTTTAGCTTTAAATATTTAAAAAAGATGAAATTTTACACATACAAATTAAATCTGAAGTATTCAACTGGTTCTCTACTTGTGCCTGTGATATGGTATGGTGTTTTAATAATTACTTAATAACGGCAAAGCTATGAGTGTGCCTTAACAGTAATTTAAAAATAAATTTCAGACACTGCAACAATTTTATGCTAAATTTTGAAACATGTCTACAGGACCCTGAAGCCAAGAAACCAGAAGACTGGGATGACAAGCCCACTATTCCAGACCCCGAAGACAAGAAGCCTGAGGATTGGGACAAGCCTGAACACATTCCAGACCCAGATGCCACCAAACCTGAAGACTGGGATGATGAGATGGACGGAGAATGGGAGCCACCTATGATTGACAACCCAGACTACAAGGGCGTTTGGGCACCAAAACAGGTAACTTTATCCACTGATCGATTCTGTATGTGGAATATTATAATAGGGTAACTATTTTAGGCACTGAATATACTAAAATTATTGTGTAAATATTTAAGATGAAATATTATAAATAGATAAAGTGCTAAGTGATAATTCTATTTTTCGTCATTATCAAAATGGTGCCCTGCATTATTTTCTGATAGATGCAGGTGATAGTCAAACTATATATCGACGCTTGAAAGGTAAACGTGAAGCAACAATAACTGCATGATACATAAATGATAGGCAAAAACCGTATTCGATGCGCAAAAAAAAATTATATATTTCTATCTATTGGTCTATTAAAATTCAAAAATAGATTTTTTTTCACGTATTTCACTTTAAATTAGTCTACTGTAAAGTTCACGCATTGTCGCTTAGTCACGTTTGCCTTTCAAGCGTCGATATGTATGTATAAAACTCACGTCACCATAGTACTGCTAATTGGAAATGGAAAAGGTCTTTGAACTAGTGTTTATTGACATGTACAGATACAGTTATGTGAGAATTACTTGTGTACAAATACGCCAATGTGTTAAAGAGGTCTTTGGGTGGTTTTGGTTAATCTTAAAACTAAATATAAAAAAAATAATGTCACCAGCTCTTAGAATAGCTCTGCTGATTTGATCATTTTATTTTTATCATCATCATGTTCATAATTTTATTAATGGTCAAAATATTTTTTGATTTTTTTACGGAAAGCAAAGCGTAATTTACTTCACTAGTTATGTACACGTACGCCACTACGGTACTTATTAATTAATCCCGGAATATTCCAGAAACTTTCATATTAGTGCCGAGTACAATCAAATTAAAACAAAAGGACAAAAAATTCAATAAACTTTTTAAAAAAACCTAGCATTTAAAATTTATTAAATAAGTGTCTCTAGATAGCTAATTTTTCTATAAATACTGAAATTTAATTATTTTCAGATTGACAACCCAGCTTACAAAGGCCCATGGGTCCATCCCGAAATCGACAACCCAGAGTACACTCCTGATTCAAACCTGTACAAGCGCGACGAAATCTGCGCTGTCGGTCTCGATTTGTGGCAAGTCAAGTCCGGTACCATCTTTGACGACTTCCTTATTACTGACAACCCGGCCGCCGCCAAAGAGAGGGGAGAGGTCATCAAGAAGAGGCAGGAGGGAGAAAAGAAAATGAAGAGCGAACAAGACGAGGCCGAGAGGGAGAAGGAGAAGGCGGAAAAGCCTGACGATGAGGAAGATGATGAGGACCTCGACGATGAGACTGCAGACGCAGCGCCTGTGGTCAGTACTTTAATATAAATGAATTTGCAATTTCGAAAAGGCACATTTGAAGGGGCACATCTCTGAAAATGTAAAATGTTCAGGAAGTGAAAAAAAACTGATTATTTTCTAAAGCAGTGTAAAATTTAAAATATTAACTTTTGAGATATATTTTAGCGTTAGTTATAGCAATTGGAAATTACTGGAATTATTATAAAATGGGTGTAGGTAAGCCTCAAATTTACATGTATATAAAAAACTTATTTGACAAAATATACGACATTATGCCCTTTTCGAAATTGCATATTCAAATATTGATTTTAAGAATATAAAATAATCAACTAATTTAAAACATTCTTAATCACTTTTCTTATTGTTTTTTTTTTCTTTCAGGAGGAACACGATGAGCTGTAAGGCTGTTGTGATTAATTAGTGAGTGCCAAGACATTGAGTACCTCGGGGTACGTAGTGTGTGTGCGTGGAGAATTCTTCTTTTAAAACCTCTCATTGCGCAATCTTCTACAATTCCAATACTTTTGTCATTTGTTTTTAGCACTGTGCGTGTGTTTGGCTCGAATTTTACCGATTCGTAGGGACATGTTGTGTGTAAGTAAATATGTGTCTATTGTTTCGTACTGATGTCCGTGTAGATGGGGATTACGCTCAGAATTGATGTATGTAATTATTTAATGTTTTGTTATCGGTCTGGCACCGTGTGCTGGGACGTGAATGTAAAGCTTTACTGTACAATAACATTCGATGTAGTAGCCCTAATGTTTTGTATGATTGTGATTGTTATTGTACAGTAAATCTGTTTCTCATTTTAAGTTGTGAAATGAGTCAATAAAATGAATTAAAATTAATTGGGTTTTTATATTTTATTGAGTAATTATAGTGTACTTAAGAATAGATTTTATAAAACTGTACAAAAAATGGACTAGCTGGGAGGTACATGACTTGCAATACTGAGAGCATTATTTATTTCGTAACAAAAATAAGTATTTCAGTAAATATTGATAAGCTACGAATAAAGATTGATCGATGAAATAACGATCGTTATAAATTATCAAAACATATTAAACAGGTAAGCTATAAAATTGATGTAACTGGAAATGAAAGTATCGAACATATTCCTTGACTGCTCTGGAGCTTCTTGCATTTCCCAGCCGGATGAGCTCCAAGGGGCCGTCACTGGTAAATAATTGAAAACTAATTTTCAAGTTAAATTTTAAATCCTATAAAAGTGAGAGAGAGAAAGACAGAGAGAGAGAGAGCGAGAGTATTCTTTATTGTACACCAAAAAACAAACAGTGCGATACATTGATACAAAAAGTACAATTGGCGGTCAGTACAAATTGGAAGTGATTGAAAGTTTAAGTTTTTAGAAATAGTCCGCTTGCACCTAGTATATGAATGTAAAGAAATAGAAAGAGAAGCATAGTATTATCTTATTGCTTAGATGATATGAGCTCCCGGCCTACTTCGTACTCTTTTGAACATGAGGTCGTAGTACCAATTATGTCCCACATTTCAACTGCTTGGCGACAGAAATGAGGGTGGTCATTATCTGTGCGGTATTTATGATACGTCCCATGACAAAAAGTTATCTATTAAATTGACGAAGGCGTTGGTTTACCCAGTATCTACCTAAATTGCAAAATCGGGTGTGAGCGACCCGTTACCAAACACAGGACCATTGCACAGTTTTAGTATCATGTGTGACACGATAGCAAAAACCAACATTCATTACTGCACGCAATGAATAAAATTTGTTAATGTGCGGTTAACGTTTTCGATTGACCCTCAGACAGCCCACTGAGTTTCTCGCCGGATCTTCTCAGTGGGTCGCGTTTCCGATCCGGTGGTAGGTTCTGCGAAGCACGGCTCTTGCTAGGGTTCATGTTAGCAAAGTCGTCAGGTTTGAGCCCCGTGAGCTCACCTACTAGTTAAGGTTACGCTGATATAGCCTCTCAAGGCTATCAGCTTATGTAAAAAAAAGCTTTCGATTGCGCGCTCATATATACATTAATGGAATAGTTTTGTGTCAATGTTAATGTTTCGGCTTTTGTTTTGAGTTAAGTAATACGAGTAGTAAGTATCCTTGCACCCCGTTCGTTATGCCGGTCACTCGCACGAATACGCAAACCCACAAGTGTAGGACGACATTCGCAAATGATTATCCAAAGTTTTCGCTGCATTCGCGGTTGGCCAAACTCTGTCGTTTTTTTAACGGATATCAAAGCGCGCGAACCGCGATCCTTCGCATAGTCTCCCACACATTCGTGTGACCAGTTGCGCCCACGATTGCGAAGGTCATGGACGTTTCGCCATTTTCATAGATCGTGACGTCCACTGTGTAGCGTACCTTCATCATGGATTGGAACAACACCAAGGTGATGGAGTTCATTGAACTCCTGCAAAATTAATCGACCATATGGGACTCTCAAAAGAAATCCCATAAAAACAGAATGGCTGTTAATGACGCCTGGGAGAGAATTAAAAACTCTTTTTCTCTTCAATGTTCTATTGCCGATTTAAAAAAGAGGAGAAAGTCGTGAGGCATTCGTAAGCAAGTGTAGGAGGAAGCGCAAACGGGTTCGCAAATTGAATACCGAATCCATTTGCACAGCCGCTAAGTTTGCGAATGAATGTCTGACAGCCCTTGTACATTGTACGAATGTTCGCGCGCATGTGAGTGGCCGGCATTAGAAGAAAATATAAACAATTCGGCTGAAAGTTATTTGTCTGAGTTTAAATGAATGCTTCAATAATTTATTTATAACAATGACCGTTAAATATAGTATATGACAATTTGGTGACGCCTAAAAATGACACTTCAAGTGATATCCAAGGGCTAATTTTACAATTTACAGAGAATAATAATTGTGTATGAATAAAATACGACAGAACAATTAGAAATTATATTGGTATGAATAAAGGAATAGTTTTTTTATGATTTATTAATGTAATGTCCGATGATTGAAAAATTAGTCCTAACAGTTTACATTCTGGAGTCCTGGAATTTTGTTTTCTTTTTGTACCCAATCCTTCAGACCTTCAATTAAAAGAGTAACGAAACTGCAAGCAAAATTTAATTATTAGTAATTAGAAAAAGCCAAATACGAATTGAATTAAGGCTAAACAAGAATTAATAAGTTACATAAAAACGTATTACGTATGGCAGGCAATATTCATCTTGAATGTGGATAACTTTATGCAATAGCCACTACAGTTTTTATGAAGCTTTCTTTTTGCATTTGTTTTTCTGCGACGCCATTGTTGCCAGTGATATGAGGTTGAAATGAAGTTGATTAATTTGAAACTCCTGATCAATTACGATGAAATTAAATGAAAGGAGATGAAATGGTATGGAATAAAGTCCCAGTAAAATAGTGGTTATTTACTGAAACTTTTCAGTGGATTTTTGGGAAGACCCGTGTAACTACATCCTGCATCTCTTTCATTTTCTTATATGTGTTAATAAATTCTTATTAATATGAATAAACGGTAAATTAATATGATTATTAATATAACATCAACTCCAATACTTACACCAATTTTGTACAACTGTAAGAAAAAAAAAATACTCGGTAAGAAAAATTATATTAGTTTATCATATTACATATAGTTTAGCTTAAAGGCTGACGGTCCTGGTAGTGCCCTGACGGTTGCGCCTTGGGTTAGATTCCCACATCGGACAAACATCCGTGTGATGAGCAGGCTCGTTTGCTGTTTGTCTGGGTGCTTATTAACTTTAATATATCGACGCTTGAAAGGCAAACGTGACTAAGCGACAATAGCTGCTTTGTACATAAATAATAGGCAATAACCATAATCGATGCGAAAAAAAAAATATATTTCTAGGTCTATTAAAATCATTTCAATCCTACAGCTAGATACCTTAAAATAGAATTTTTTTCAGGTATTTCAACTTTAAATTAGTCTACTGTAAAGTTCACGCATTGTCGCTTAGTCACGTTTGCCTTTCAAGCGTCGATATGTATATATTTAGACGTAGGTATATAAGTACCCTTAGTTTCTGGTACTCATAACACAGGGAATCCTAATTTGGATAACGAGCGTAAATTGCGTTATTTGTTCCCATTTATCTATTATTTATTATGACTACACAGGCTGTCTGCAATATACATATATATATTTTTTATTTCTTCTGCTGACCTGATGAACCCTGCCCAATTTTGTATTAAGTCGTTAGGTCACAGGCATCACAAAGCGAATCACTACTACCGCCATTGAGAAACGAGGTCGATATTCAAGCTGTTTTGCATAATGGAACACTGCCTCGCAACAGAAATAGAATGCAAGGTGGTAACCACCCACTGTGCGCCCGTATTACCAGTAATTGAAAACGATTCCATTTTATTAATGTTTATCCCTTATCGTGAAAGTCATTTTTGAACATCAAATACGTATTGGTCCCTTAGGATAGGCTTGGCATAGCCACATCGGTCGATATGAAAACACCGCGCGTCTTCCTCACTATGGGTCATAGATGTAACTATAGGTTTAATTGTACATATCCAAATTAATTCCAAAGTTGTAACAAACACCTTGTTCTTTGGACGGTTATTTGTACTCTATATAATCTTATTACGCATAGTGTTTTGTGCGATTGATTCAGGAATCATTAATTAAGGAATTAATTTAGGAGTAATCACGTAGCATCATTTCATTTCATGGTCATCTTTACCAGTCTCTAAAAGGTTACTACTGGACATAAGCATCACTCAAAACACTGTCACCCACAATGCGACGTATCCTCAAATATAATATCAGTATGCTTAGTGCGTGTTTTTTAACGTTCTCGATAACGTAAAAGTAAACTAAAATTTGTATGGAGTTGGAACAGCGCCCCTAGCGGCAAACGAAGGAAAGCACACAGATGGCTTGATAAAAGACACGCTATATCTTAGAGAGAACTAACGTTTTTCCAATTTCTTCACTTTCTTCTCTTTTATCGGTTCAGCTTGTGTAGTCGGTTCTTCTGTTTTCGGAGCTTCAGTGGTTTGACGGCGTGGAAAGTGGTGGAAACTGAAGCAGGGCTCAGGCGCCGCAGTTACTGAAATCATAGCAGTAAGTAATATCGGCGGATAGCGCCTGGGTTCTTATGAGAGCAAGATTATGTTTAATAATATGTACTTAATTAAAAATCATATAATAAATATTGCATATCTGTAAAACGAAGTAATCTTCAAGGCTGTTTCGGATAAATTTAAATGCTGTTGTTGTTGTTAATTCATTATTAATATGTTTTAATACGCTTTTATTACTTCAGACGTATGTAGGTATGTTATTATGTAACGGAATATTTGAACATGATTTTGACCCCCTTCAAAACATTGAAACTACTTAACTTGAAATTTGGTATACTTATTAAGGACTGATGACAAATCATAATTTAAAAAAAATTGAAGAAATTGAAATTCAACTAAATAAATTAAAAATAAATAATAGTTTAAAAAAACTAACAAAATACTTTTATAGAAAATCCAATTAAAAAATAGAAAATATATTTTAATAAATTTGAATTAAAAATAGTAGAAGGGTTATTTTGATAATATATCCTGAAAAGCACCCCACGCTTTTTTACAATAAAATCATTTTTTCTTACACTATTTTTAATTTAAATTAATTAAAATTTATTTTCTATTTTTAGTTGGATTTTCTATAAAAGCGTATTTTGTTAGTTTTTTAAACTATTATTTATTTAATGTTAGAACCATTCCACCACCACATTTAGTATAACCGAACATATTCCCGCAGCCGTCGCCCGAAACATGTCTTGTCGGATTCCACGGATCCACTGTTAGTGCTTTTAGACTCTTCAGGCACTGGTTAACGTTCTAACTGGAATATCCCCTAAGGGCAATCAGCTAATAGGTAGGGGAACAAGATAATAATAATAATAACCGATAAGTCATGAAAATTAAGGGATCTATCGATAATTTGACTATTTAACTTTTCTAGGTCTGGGTACTGGGTATAGCTTGGTCAAGCTAATCTAGAATGAGTAAGTACCTATACAATTATGCAACACTATGTGTAACTATGCAATACCTGTGTTGTAGTCTTGAATCAGCATCTGAAATTTAATCATATAAGAGGATAAACTTTAAGTCAATATCCATCTGTAACTTTTAGGAATTTGTTGTCTGTCCAAAGAAAATATATTGAGTTCATAAAGTCTCCGTTAAGTCTAAGTCGTCAAGTTTAACGTCTAAGTCTACTACTGACAGACGGATCGGAAAAAATAGACAAAGTGAATTCCATCTGTGACTGAATAATGAAATGCGCCAGAACGGGTGCTGAAAATCTAGATTATGAATAACTTCTTGGCTGTAGGACTTGAGACTGATTTGGATGATGTACCGGCCCCCAGTCCAGTCACAGTGGAGTCCGATATGAGAAAAGAGGCAACTCAATGAATATAAAAAAACCCTATGTTTGCGTTTATTGCTCGCCACAAGTCAATAAGCGCACCGGAAACCCAGAGAATACACAATTCAATTAATATACTGCTATAAATGCGACTACCTTTGTAGAAATCTTTAAATATTTGATACACGTTATAAGGCACCCGTGGCTCTAACTTCAAGACAAAGCTGCTTGGATTATAAATGTTGTTTTTTACGTAATAGAATAAACAAATATTATTTGATGCAAACGGAACTTTATTTAAAGTATAAACACAAATTGAGATTGTGTTGTTCACACTTGATAAATTTTTTTTACTACTTTGATGCGTTGACGACCTCACGGCCCACCTGGTGCTAAGTGGTTACCAGAGTCTATTGACATCTACAACGTAAATATCGCATCCCACCTTAGGATAAGAGTTCAAAAGAGAGTGAGGTCTCAGATTTAACAATAGAACGGCTGCGCTAACCTTCATATCGAAACGCATTACTGCTTCACGGCAGAAATAGGTACGGTGCTGGTACCTACTCGTGCGAACTCACGAAACGTCCTACCATCAGTAAACTAAAACTCATTCATCATTCTCCTGCCCTTCTCCCAGTCACCTGGGATCGGCGCAACATGTTTTCTCCTTCCATACTCTTCTATCATATACCATTTCTTCGCTCACTCCCCTCTTACCCATATTGTCTTTCACACAATCTATCCATTTCTTCTTAGGTCTACCTCTTCCTCTATATCCTTCCACATTCATAGTTAACACTCTCTTACCAACTTCATTTTCATTTCGTCTCATCACATGTCCATACCATCCCAAACGCGCACTCCTCAGCTTCTCTGTCACAGGTGCCTAGTCACAGTAAACTAAAACTAATTGAATTAAATAATTGAACCTAAAATTATTATACGTCTAGTAATTACGATTATAATGTTAATCTTACCAGAAACACAACACCGAGCGCGACAAACAACTCACAATATTTCATCTTTAAATGGTATACACAAGTAATGTGTGTCGTTTGCCATCATACGTTTTATACTTTGTTTAAATACAATAAATTTGTAACGCCCTGTTATACGCGCATTTTAATGCTGTCACATGAAAGGATATACATCTATTTATCGAATTGACATTGGTTCTAGTCGGCGTGAAAATTAACTCATTACACTATCATCCGTGAAGGTTGGTGTTTTTTAATACTAGAAAGGCGAATACATTTTATTTTTTTATATTGTATTATACGCGTGCAAATGACAACGCTCCTTTTGAGCCTTGAGAGGCTATTTCAGCGTAACCTTAACTAGTAGGTGAGCTCATGGGGCTCAGACCTGACGATGTTGCTAACACGAACCCTAGCAAGAGCCGTGCTTCGCAGAATCTACCACCGGATCGGAAACGCGACCCACTGAGAAGATCCGCCGAGAAACTCAGTGTGCTGTATTTGAGGGTTAATTTACTCGTCGAACGGACAACGCTTCTTGAATTCACTTGCCGTAATTATGTCGATTTTTCTCTTCGATCTTCTTACTAAGGCGCCGGAACATTTAGTAGATTCTAGGAAGAACGAATCCGAAGATATTGAGAATAAGTCCTTTTCTGAAAGACCTATGATGACTAAAACATATATTAACAAACAAAAGAAGGCAAAGTTAAGCGATCTAAGCGCTTAGTAAAAGAAATCGACATAATTACTTCAGTAAACCGCGTAGGGCATCGGTGATCTACACGGCAGTCAACGTGTTAAGTAATATAATAACTGATATATGAGTCGTCTATTATCAAAGCCGGCAATGTGACTTTTGGACAATTATTGGTAAATCAGAAAAACGAATTATTGACTTTGTATTCCATTGGCAGTCACAAAACTCTTCTGAACGACATCTTAGATAAATAACAGGTTAAGTATTAACCTTTATTTAATGCAGGTTTTGAACCGTATTCTTTGAAGGAGACGATTATATTCAAATCAATCTGTATTGACATATCAATAACATTTTTTTTGTCCAAATGCACAGATTGCCACCTTTGATAATAGACGACTCATATTAAAGATCAAGTATAGTAATATTTCGCCTTCTCGCCGCGCCCGTCGAGTCGTCAGTAGTTGGTTAGTAACCCTAACCACGTTATTTCCAATCCTCCTGATCCTCTAACGATGCTTTTAGGTACCTAAAACACCGGTCACCGTTCTCGTCGAACCCATCCCTTGCGACGAAGGGTTCGACGAGTAAATTAACCCATAGACAGCTCACTGAGTTTCTTGCCGGATCTTCTCAGTGGATCGCGCTTCCGATCCGGTGGTAGATTCTGCGAAGCCAAGTGTGCTTAGTGCGAGTTTCATAACGTTCTCGATAGCGTAAAAGTTAACCCAATTTTGTATGCAGTTGGAACAGCGCCCCTAGCGACAAACGTACGCAAACGATCCCATTCCATACAAATATGAGCTAACTTTTACGCTATCTAGCACGTTAAAAAACTCGCACTAAGCACACTGCTCTCTCTTGCTAGGGCTAGTGCTAGCATCGTCCTCAGGTTAGAGCCCCGTGAGCTCACGGTTCGGTCACGCTGGCATAGACTCCTAAGGCTACCAGCATAGGTAGGGAAAAAAGTGACCCTAACTGATTCCGCGTCCTGATTCCATTTCCGATCGGAGTCAGTATTATTGTGAAATTAGGAATTAGGTGACTCAGCGTCATTTTTATTTTATTTTTTTATTGCATAGATGGGTGGACGAGCTCACAGCCCACCTGCTGTTAAGTAGTTACTGGAGCCCATAGACATCCACAACGTAAATGCGCCACCCACCTTGAGATATAAGTTCTAAGGTCTCAAGTATAGTTACAACGGCTGCCCTACCCTTCAAGCCGAAACGCATTGTTGCTTCACGGCAGAAATAGGCAAGGTGGTGGTACCCAACCGCGCGGACTCACAAGAGGTCCTACCACCAGTAATTACGCAAATTATAATTTTTCGGGTTTCATTTTGATTACACGGTGTTATTCCTTCACCGTGGAAATCAATCGTGAATATTTGTTGAGTACGTATTTCATTATGTTGTGTTTGTCTTTTATTAAAGCTCATAGACATTACAACGTAAATGGCGCCACCCACCTTGAGACACGAGTTATAAGTCTCAGAACACCTCCCACCATTCAGTGGTACGTATGATTACTTCGTGGCAGAAATAGGCTGGCTGCTGGTAATTACCGGTGCGAGCTTTCATTACATTCTACCCTCAGTAAAAAGTTTCCCGTATGTGTATTCTCGGCACCCATAATACAGCAGAAAATCTTACCTTGGTTTTTATTCCGTTCATATATTTAAGTGTGAATTTAAAGCTCTATATTCCCAATATTTTTTTGACTGATCTAATTTAGAAGCATTGATATAACGCAGACAAAAACAATCAAGCACAAAATTTATTATCTAATTTTTAACCTTTAAAAGTAAAACCTGTGTCCACCCACACGCGGTCGCGCCATTTCCACGTGTCAAGTGGTCCGCTGCAAATTGCCAATTCGTGTACAGTTTTTTCTAAAGCCCGTGAAGTATTTTCAATTTCCCTCCCCATAGTTAGGTGCCAACCTACATCAATGCTGCGACAAAAAGGGAGTCCTGGCTTAGATAAAAAGGTCTTGAGATACGAACAGAGCATAAATTGGGTATATATTTTTTTTAAATATCGAAATAAATTTAGCATATAGGTCACATTTTTTTATTGCTTAGCTTGGTAGGTTAGCTCACAGTCCACCTGGTGTTAAGTGGTCACTGGAGTCCATAGACATCTACAACGTAAATGCGCCACCCACCTTGAGATACGTTCTAAGGTCTCAGTATAGTTACACATTAGACCAAATAGATTTATTTTTTCCTTGAAATAGTTTAAAGGGACAAACAACTCATATCACTGAAATACCAATCGAAACCAAGTTGGTAATTTCATTGTATAATAATAATAATAGTAAGAGATGTTGTAATCATTTAACTAATCAAAGATTCATTAATTAGTCTGTTTTATTTGAATCGCATTCAAATTTTCACTCTTTATCTATCTTCTTCTTAATCACTTGATTTAAACAATATTCTAATATACTCGTATAACCTAATTCTCATGAGACTTTTACTAATTTTATCAGCATCTAAAGCTTCGAAGCGCCGACTTAAGCCGGTTTTATCAAGAAAAATATCGTCAGTTTGTTTTAACACAGAAATAACGCCCTTTGCACTCCGCACCGCTTTGTTTTCACAACCACCCCGACTTGTGGAGGCCAAGTTGTGTTTGTAGTTGCACTATTTTTTCATATTCCAGTTGTAGAGGAAATGATAGTTTTCGAACAGCAAATTTATATTGGTTATCTAAATGCGGGGTGATAATGAAAAGTGTCAACATTTTTGTGTTTCTAACCCCACGTTAGGCTGGATATCCGGTGTCGAAAGAAACTGAATTCTGTCTAGTTTTTGTAAGAAATTGAACCACGAGGCACGAAGCTAAGGGAGAATGATGGATTAGCTTCACTCCGAAGGGGAGCTACGATACGCCTAATTTATTATTATTGTATCGAAGTATTGATTTATGGTGTGTCTCAGCTTCACTGAATAGGATTTCTACTTTTCATTTAGTTGTGTGTTTTAGTTCGAAAAAATTTATTTTCTGTCTAATCAATTTTTCTGGTGGTAAATCGTCTTGTGAGCCCGTACAGGTACCACCACCCTGCCCATTTGTGACGTGAAGCAGTAATGCGTTTCGATTTGAAGGATAGGGCAGCCGTTGTAACTACACTTGAGACCTTAGAACTCATATCTCAAGGTGGGTGGCACATTTATGTTGTAGGTGTCTATGGGCTCCAGTAACCACTTAACACCAGGTGGGCTGTGAGATCTTCCAACCATGAAAGCAATAAAAAAAAAGAAAAAAACAGTTCGAACACCGGTGCATCGCTCAACACGTATGCACCAGACGTCTTACACTTTAGGCCACGACGACTTCAAAACCACTGAATACAGGTGTGCTGTGAGCTCTTCCAGCAATCTAAGAATTAAATATTAAAGAAAACTACCACTGCAAACTGAATCCATGTCAATAGCCGACTATGTGGTAAACATGCTACATACATTTTTTTTGCTCTAAGTTCAGATCCACAGTAGATCTTACGAGACTCTGGTATTCATTCGGTGGTCATGGAAGCTCATAACGATTACAAAATGAATGCAGCCACCATTGGACATTTCGAAGTCTTAATTTTATTCTGTAAAGGTGTCGCGTCATGTCAATGGGAACGCATGACTACCGTTTGCTTTGAGGGAGAAATAGACGATAGAGGGATATATCGGGCAGGCACACAATACTCTCTCACTACCCAGCTAACAAGCTACCGTAAGAGAATAAGGTATGTGAGAAATAAAAAAGTGTGTTAAAAATAGGGACAATTCAAAACCGAGAGAGATTTAAATGCAGATTCATATTATACCGGACGTCATTATGAATACGTAATTGATTTTAAAATCGATTTAAGAAGAAAAATGGACTTCCGTATTTGTAAAGACACGGAACAGCAGTGATCTAGATTTAGAAAAATATCGATGTGTTACTGTTAGCATCATAAATTAGCTGCATAGCATTCTTGTTTCTAGTGAAAAAGAAAATTATTTCATTATTTGCTATTAACGATATAAATATATCGCTAATTAATAACTGCAAATATTGCGCACCCGGGAACACATTTTACGTACTAATTGGAAGAGATTTAAAAAACGCTTTTTGGTGCAACGCTTCCTAATTAACGGACTCCCTCAATCTCGCTAAAATTAATACAAAATCTTAATTTACCGTTACATTATTTTCGATTCATCTTACGTTGGCATGTTATAGTCTGATACGGTGGTCTCATAGTATGTCTTGGGGAAACCGAAAACATTAATTATATTAGCAGTAATTATTACTTGCTCCTTCTTGCCCACTGAGTTTCTCGCCGGATCTTCTCAGTGGGTCGCGTTTCCTATCCGGTGGTAGATTCTGCGAAGCACGGCTCTTGCTAAGGTTCGTGTTAGCAACGTCGTTAGGTTTGAGCCCCGTGAGCTCACCTACTAGTTAAGGATACGCTGAAATAGCCTCTCAAGGCTATCAGCATAGGTAGGAAAAAAAAGCTCCTTCTTGGATCTTGAGAGTAGTCTCGTGTGCACTATTAGAACCGCACTCCTTCGAAATTTAATCAATTCTATTAAAAGTTAAATCCTGTTGTTCTAGCCCCTGTTTTTAAAGTACAAATCATCGGGCATGTTTATTTACCAACTTAATGTGACATTTTTACTAGCTCATCCATAAACCAGAGTTTATGTCGCTCGGGTCCGCTGTGTTATGGGTATTTTATGCCCGAGGGAAAAACTAAGAATAGGACACGGTTGGGGTGCCGTGGAATAAGGCTGTATCCAGGATTATTTTTTTATTTTAATTTGTTAAATTATTAATAGCAATAGTAGGGTGTATTGTTAACTCGTGCGGGTAGGCACCACTATCCTGCCTTTTCTTACCGCGAAGCAGTCATGTTTTCCGATTTCAAAGACGGGACAACCGTTGTACAACACAAGTGAGACTACGACTTATGAGGGTGGTGGCATACACGTGATTCTTTGGCCCCCGGTAACCACTTAATACCGGGTGAATCGTGAATTCGTTCACCCATTAACTCAACAAAAGTACCTAAAAGTAAATCGAAAAATTCTGTTCCGGAGTCTGCATGGAAAAAGAAATAGTATGTTCTAAAAACTTTACCTTTCTAACGTTACAATTGTTGATCGAAGTTTCTAACTTACCAGTTCTCTTTTGCATCCCACGCAATGTAACGCAATTTCCAAAAATTGGGTGGAGTCGCGCGGAGACAACGGTCTCGAGAAAACACGCTTTGCGTCCGTCTACTTATCTTCGCATTACATTACTGGTTATGTATTGAGAACTCATTCAAACAATTAGTATTTCTACTGACTATTGTTGGTTGGCCCAGTTGTTGAGATTCGATCATAATTACTACAACTTCAAGGCTTACATTTATTTTAAATATTCTATTTTCTTTTTTGTTTTGATATTGACATTTTTTTGTAGTCTTTCAATAGCTACTTAATAAAAAAAACACTTTAGTTTAGATCCACTTCTGAAATGTTCTTTAGAACGTCTATAAACTAACATACCTAAATCTATTCTAGAACTTTCTTTGCTTGCTACAACTAGGACGAATATTTTTGTAATTCGTTTTTAGAAATAGGGTTTCACAATATTTGAACAGGGGTCGGAACCCCTAAAGTCGCTTTATGTACCGTCGCGGCGTCGTCCGGAATCCATTACTGCGAACTCGATTAAGGGGAATGGACATTCATTAGTTTCCGGGGAATATTTCGTACGTTAAAACTTGATGAATAAACATTTTGGGCGCGTTCGGCTGCTACTTTAATAATGAAGAGTAAATTGTCAAATGACTGAAAAAAAAATTAGCTTTTTTTTCTCTATCTATGCTGATAGTCGTGAGAGCTTCACCCTAACATGTAGGTGAGCTCACGGGGCTCAAACCGGAGTGTTGCTAACACTGGTCCTAGCAAGAACAGTGCTTCGCAGAATCTACCACCGGATCGGAAACGCGACCCACTGAGAAGATCCGGAGAGAAATTCAGTGGGCTGTGTCTGTGGGTTAATTCGCTCGTCGAGCCCTTCGTCGCAAGCGACGGGTTCAACGAGGACAATGACCGGTGCTTTTGGTACCTAAAAGCACCGTTAAAGGATCGGGAGGATCCGTAATGACGTGTTTTGGGTGACGTCGACTGTTTACCATTCGGCCTACAGGATCGGGTATGTACTTTCCAGCGGCCACGACAAGAGGGTTCTCATGTCATGCCACCTTCTCAAAGTGGCACAATAAAAAATTCAACGACACACTCTCATCGTCTAGTTACGTATCAAACTCGTCTCATAGTTCTCATACTGACGAGGCTAGAGGAAGAAAGACTACAGTATATTGTTCCGTTTAAATAAATTAACCGTTCTTTCTTAATGAAAGTTATTCGTTGAACAAAACTAAAGTGATTGATGACTGAGTGCTCGGTAGATCAAGCATAGAAAATGTTATTTATATAATTAAATAGATGAATAAATCTATAATCTATATAATATATAAAAATGAATCGCTGTTCGTTAGTCTCGCTAAAACTCGAGAACGGCTGGACCGATTTGGCTAATTTTGGTCTTGAATTATTTGTGGAAGTCCAGAGAAGGTTTAAAAGGTAGATTAATATGAAAATGTTCGGGATTAAATAAAAATAACAATTTTGTTTTTCCTTTGATGTATCCCCTGACGGACGGATTCCTTTTGTTTGTTTTAAGTTTATTTTATACAAAAGTTTAAGTCTTTTATTTATGGATTGAGGCACTACGAAGTCTGCCGGGTCAGCTAGTACATAATAAATACGTGTAATGTTCACAACTACTTTGTATTCCTGTACAAATAAAATAAAAATTAGATGACTATGAAAATTAGATGATGACTGACATGGTTTGTTGTTTTCTTTTACTAGCAAAAATGGATTCACATTTTGAGATAAAACTGGGCAAAATCAGCTACGAGAAAAGTTAATTCCAAATATTATTGGTGATAACTCACCAATGAAAAATATTCACGAAGCTATCAATTAGTATTTTCTTCAGTTTTTGCGAGCAGTAGACATATTACAAACCATTTTTACAATACGACTAATCGTCCGTGACCATAAAAACTGTAAAAAATATGTAATATAATGACGGAAACCAATTAATAACACAACGTTAAACCGTAAAATTACATTTAATTTTACGAATATGATATCTCTTACCTATCTTAGACATATTGCAAAAACTTCGTGAATGTTATATAATATTCGACGTGCAAACGAGTAGGTTATGAACAATGAAAGTCCTTGAGAATATGAGGTACCTAATCTTGGCTAAGCGCGGTAAATCCGAGACAAATTCTTTAGACTCGCTTACCGCCTCCCAGACAGACTGCGCCGTTTAAAAATACTTCCTCAGTGAAAGATATATAGCGACGATGTATAAAGAGAAATAACATTCTAAACGACCTATCACCATTACGTCCTACTCACCATGTTGATTTATGAATGCTAACACGACATCATCCATACTGATATTATTTTGCCATCTAAGTTCCTCCGTCAATCCTCATATTGAATACTGATGGAACCATAGCATGGTTTCTGCTGTTCTTTCAATGATACTTTTTTTCTTACCTATGCTAGTAGCCTCGAGGGGTTATTCTAGATTCACCGAGCTAGTGAGCTCACGGGGCTCGTGTGTGTGCTAACACCGGGGGTGTTGCTAAGACTGCCCTTAGCAACAGTGCTTCGCAGAATCTACCACCGGATCGGAAACGCGACCCGCTGAGAAGATCCGGCGAGAAACTCAATGGGTTGTATCTATGGGTTAATTTACTCGTCGAGCCCTTCGTCGCAAGCGACGGGACAATGATTCAATGGGAATGAAGTTCACGGCGTGGTGATAACGATGAACATGAACAAAATTGACACGCGCACGTACACAAAGTTTTACTAAAATTGTAAATCGCATTATATGTTAGTCTAATCTAAGTATGTACATATACTAAGTATTTAAATAAATAGTTTTTATCAGAAAGTGTTTAATGGATACTTTGAATGACATAAGCTTTCTAAATTGTAACACGAGGCTTATAATGCAATAGATAAAAATCTTAAATATTAATTAAATATAAACCGTATATCTATGGATAAAACAATTATGTAATTGTGCTTCACCATATTGGCTGGCACCCTAACCCTCGTTATGTTGTGATACGCAGCTGACTTCAGAATCCATTTAATATCGTTTCAATACCTACAGTTAATTTAATAAAGTACCCGAAAAGAATAAATGAAAATTTAAGTTGTACATCTGAATAGCATTTCTAGTATAGAATATGAATACTATAATAAATGAAGTATTTATTTATACTTTTAGAACTAAGTAATCATAACGTGCTTGCAATAAAAACTTACAATTTTCGGACTTATTATTAACAGCGATATCTTTGTAATAGGATTGTCATTGTTATGATTTTTTAATGGTGTTGGAGAAAACGACTTTCCTCAACTCAATTTTAAGACGAAGGGTTAGATAAAAGTCTTGGAAGATGAGCGCGAGACTGTCCAACAATATGGGCGATTGTATAGTTTGCATATCGAACCAGACCACTAGATTTTGTGGAATGATTTCACGACATAGAATACCGCTGTCGTGAATACTTGCTTCAGTCCGCTAAGCCCTACTGAGATGCGCTCCATGAGACAATGCATCTATTAAAGGCATGAGTGTTTTGAACGGAATTAAAAGTGCTCATTGATAAAAATCTTGGAGGAAACATGCTTGTAACGTAAACGACCGTACAACTTGATCAGAGACATTGGGAAGCTGCTCGGCCGAAAAATAGAATTGTCATCTTTCCGTTTACTGGCCTTATGAAGGTCGATAACGTCAGCTTCTTTCCAGACCGCGAGAAGGCCAATATAAGGTCGAGTTGGCTAGGCAACAGTTATAGATGCGGTTTAAGATGCGGTCGAAGCCGGAAGTTACTTTATTTTGTAGATTTTTGATCGATTATTTTTACTTTCATCCCGGGAACGGAGTTAACGCGTGTAAGAACCCAATCTGTATAATATCAGATCAATGGTAGCGGTAGAATTCTGATATTATTTCGATAAAGTGACAGGGAAGTCCCATCAACTGATGCATCGAGGCGCCTTGGTGTTTGTGTTTCGTAAATTCTACCTTAAAGTCACTTGAAGACAATTGAAGTCACTTGCCAAAAAATGGGCCAAACGCAGTGGGCTGAACTTGTATTTGCCAGGCCATTTTCTCTGAGCTCAATTTCACGTTTAAACCAAACCTTCTAAATACAGAAGGTCGAGGATATTTGCTTAAATAAATGGTTAAATACGCGTTTATAACAATGTACTTCTTTTTAAACGAAACATTTATTAACAATGAAATGTTATAAAAGAATCCGAACTAGGATTTTTTTAAACATTATAATATGTCTTACAAATTACTTAGAAAATTGGAAACAATTATCTTATAATAGCACAAGATCAAGACGAAAACATTTTGTTGAAGAACTATAAAGTACGTTGTTAAGAAATAAGCACTACGGACACGTTTTTCCATTGTCACTTATTTAAGGAAATACAATAGGAAGCGCTGGGTAGTTGCCAATTTGTGTTGTCGATGAAGTCACAGTGATATAACAAGGTACAACGAGTACTAAAGAGGCACCTTCAAACGTATAGAAGGATACACGCATAAGGCACAAAACGAATATTACTCCGGAATAAGATTAACTTTGGTTAGCAGTAAGTGGGTTGGTAGTTTGGAGGTTAATGTCAATAATATTCCGCTATCCAGGACATAAATGAATGACATCATGACCGGGCTTTCGCATTAGTTCCATAGCATCTATCGATTGATTTTTTACATGTGTATTATTATGGGTTTTTTTTAAATGAATTTAGGATTACTGGTGGCCCGGGGCCTTTTCCAGTTTCACCAGGACATATGGGCGAGAAAAGACTAAGCTGGGAGGGAAGGGATTTGTTAACAACTGTCCGAGCACCTTCGAAGGAGACCTAACTACTCAAGAGTAGCTACTTCGCGAATGAATCTACTACCGGATCGGAAACGCGACACGCTCAGAAGATCCGGTGAGAAACTCAGCGGGCTGATGGGTTAGGATGGATGTATGGGTTAGGTTTATTATGGATATATTTTTATGCAGACGTATATCTTTTATGGACAGAAGAGCTTACGACTCATTTGTTATTATACGATTACTGGAGCTCGTAAATGTCCCAATGGAATGTCGGCGTTCAAATCCTGAAGGAGAATATTATATTGTTTTATGTAAAAACCTAATTAATATGAAACGAAAAATTATTTTCACGATACATGAATAATATCGTACAAACCTAAAGTAAAAACGAGGCAACCAATATAAGTTGTGTATTTATTCGTAATGGTGCCTTTTTCAACGCGATCTGTAGCAAAAATGTAAATAATTTTAAGGTTTTTTACTATTCTAAACTTGAGATTGAAATATTCGGCATATATACCCAAAGTATAAATATAATGTACTTACTATTATAAAATATTAGATGCAGGTGACAAGTGGTAAGAAAAGCGAATAAGTACCTACTGTTAGAAAAACAATTTTTTTTTTTTTTAAACTTATATTGGTGGACGAGCTCACAGCCCACCTGGTGTTAAGTGGTTACTGGAGCCCATGGACATCTACAACGTAAATGCGCCACCCACCTTGAGATATAAGTTCTAAGATCTCAGTATAGTTACAACGACTGCCCCACCCTTCAAACCGAAACGCATTACTGCTTCACGCCAGAAGTAGGCAGGGCGGTGGTGCCTACCCGCGCGGACTCACAAGAGGTCCTACCATCAGTATTACGTGGAGACCACAGAATTTGAGCATATCGACGCTTGAAAGGCAAACGTGACTAAGCGACAATTCGTGAACTTTACAGAAGACTAATTTAAAGTTGATATACCTGAAAAAAATTGTATTTTAACGAATCTAGCTGTAGGATGGAAATGATTTTAATAGACCTAGAAACATATATTTTTTGCGCATCGAATATGGTTATTGCCTATCATTTATGTACAAAGCAGTTATTGTCGCATAGTCACGTTTGCCTTTCAAGCGTCGATATATATGTATATACAAAAAAAAAGATATTTTACATTAGGATTTTACAAGATGCAAGAAGCGAATCTGAGTGCAGCCTGGCCGGGCCGATCCGAAACCGTGTGTCTTCGACCTGACCCGCACCGCGTGCTCTCGGCGTATTTCAACAACCGATTATATATGTCACGCGTCCAACGCTGCTCAAGTTTCATTAATTACAACACGGTATTTGAGAAATCCATAATTTAGTCATTTCAATTCTTTAATGAATAATTCCCGTAAAGATAAGAGAAAAAAAACAAGAGAATACAATGTGGATATCATTAAAAAAATATATTTAAGTAATCATCAAAAAATTACGAAGCTGTAATTAATTTATCATATAATTATTATACATGAGAAGACTAATAGAAAAAACTGATTGGTTTTTAATACAGCATAATAAACGTGATACTTAAAACTGTTAGCGTGGCGTGGTTGTTAGTAAATATTTATTTATTTATTATTTATTTATTTATTTATTGATGTACATAATTAATGCAAATTCATATGACAATTTTGTGAATAACTGATCCCTATTATCCCTATTATTATATAAAGTTATCGTCCTAGATACTTGATTGAGTGAATGCTATTCACTCAACAACGCTTATCGATGCAGCATTGTACACAGAATCTAAGTAAGTCTCGTTAAAGCCACGTAACGTAGTACGGATATCCAGCAGCCCCTCTTCCCTCACAAGAGTGGAGAGAGGGCGGAGCCGCGAACCTCAGTTCTCCTCCGCACACAGCAGCGCGTGTACGTACGTGCGCAACACCAGTGCCGAAACAAAACAAAAAACAAAAAAAAGAACAGTTGCATTTTATAACAAAAATACGTGCTGTGCTCCAAATAACAAAAAACCGCTGGATTTTGTTTGACGTAAGTGTGATTTTCGGTTTGTTTTCATTTAGTTCGGTGAAAGCACGATCACTGAAAGGCTGTATAGATGGAATTGAAAGGTGAATGAATCGCTTTGCTTAGTTCAGCGCTTATTGTGATATCGTCATTAAGTTATCTTCAAGTTTAATAACCTTTTGCCTAATAATAATATATGCTTATTAGAGTCACATAGATGGAGTTCTTATAAACGTTTTAGTAGCTGCATTCAGTTAAGGTTTTGGCCGATCGCATTAAGAAAAGCTGATTAAGCCATGTGGAACTTTTAATATTAGTAACAGCTTGATACATAAATCTGTTTTTATGTAGTAGATTTTAGTTAAGTCGATTCGTAAAGTCGTAGGTTTCTATCTTTCCTATAAATATATCTTCTATATTTATAGATTAATTTGATAAATAATTAAAGAGCTTTTACATTAGTACACGAAATGAATGTGATATTAAAACAGTCGTGTTGTTCAGGTCCATTGAAAGGTAGGTATGAAAGTGGACAATCGTTATTTGGAGCCTCAAAGAATTCGAACTGTGCCTCAAAGTTTGGGGTGGTATAAATATTCTGAAGCGTTTGAATATAGTCCATTACGTACATATAAATAACGAATTAATTAGTATATTATTCGTCGTAAACCCGTCTGCCATTTACGCCAATAAAAAATGAAATAAACTTTTTATGAATTTAAAAGGAATTTGTTTTTGCACTCATCACTAAAGTTTTAATCGACACCTACGCTACCATCATGCATTTGCATTTTTTTTTTCCCAAGCTGAAGATTTACGTCGTAAATAATAGATTACCTATTTAAATATTTTTTTGTAATTTATTCGCCGTTTATGTTTTCAATTTTAGTGCTCCACAATTAAGTTAATAGTAAGATAATAATAATACATAAAGTACATAAGAAAATACAAACGGTAATTGAAACTTCTATAATAAATTCTAATCGCGATTAATATTTATACTTCATTATTTTCAACGTTTCTCAATAATTTACAGTTCTCGTGGTCACGGACAACGATACTGTGAAACTGTAAACTGGAAGTAACTTAACTTGTAATTAGATCGGAAAAGTAGTTTTAAATGTTGTAAATCTACACTTCTGTGACTCACGAAAAAATAATACAAAACCCAAAACCAATTCCTAATATTATACATAATATAATGGTAGTGCAATTCGTTAGTGAAAAATAAAAATATGGTCTAATTTCAGACAGTCGAGACTCTATTCGCAATTATCTAAAACAAAATGCACAATAATTTACTTACATATATATGTACTACTACTAATACTATCCATTATATCATCATCATCATATATATATAATACTATCCATTATATATTTATTTTAAATAAATAAATAACCGAGAACAGATTACGCACGGTCATCTGGCCCTAATTTAGGATTCCCCGTGTTATGGGTACTAGAGGTCGATAAACATACTTATATATGGTTAAATATATACATATATTGATAATAGACACCTAGGCAAAGAGCAAACCAGTTCATCACACAATGTTTTGCCCGATGTGGGAATCGAACCCACAATCGTCAGCGCATCCGTCAGGGGCGCTAATTACTTCACCACCGAGTCAGTCAAATGTTGTTTATGTTTATATGTCGGTTTTTCGATACCATAGATAATTCTATTCTTCATCTATATGTATTGTACTAATATAATAAAGAGGAAAGATTTGATTGTTTGTTTGTATTGAATTGGCTCCGAAACTACTGAACCGATTTAAAAAATTCTTTCACCGTTGGCAAGCTACACTATGTCCGGACGAAGTAGGCTATATTTATTATATTTTCAAAAAAATTGGGCATCCTTATTAAAACTCCAATAATGTGAAAAATTGCCTAACTTCTTTACATCGCGTGCGCTACTGCCCAAGTGAGGCCGGGGCAGGTCGCTAGTATAATATAATTTCACTCCATTGTTGATTTCTTGGCAGTGAACTGATTGAGGATGGAACCTCGCCTTTATACAAGAATTTGATTACACTAGTCTTCTCACCCAGTGCTCGAAATTAGACCACAATCACTAAATCAATATTCAATTGATGTTTTCTAATTTCTAATTTGTTTTGAATTGTCATTTTGATGTCATAATGTCATTTTCTGGTCATTTTCATTACTGGTGGCCTACCACCTAACCTCTAACCTCTTATGAGTCCGCGCGGGTAGGTACCACCGCCCTGGCTATTTCTGCCGTGAAGCAGTAATGCGTTTCGGTTTGAAGGGTGGGGCAGCCGTTGTAACTATACTTGAGACCTTAGAACTTATATCTCAAGGTGGGTGGCGCATTTACGTCGTAAATGTCTATGGGCTCTAGTAACCATTTAACACCAGGAGGACTGTGAGATCGTCCAACCATAAAAGAAAAAAATTTTTTTTTTCATTAATGTCATTTTGATAAAAAAAAATTGTAAATATGTACTATTTTTAACAATTTTCCTACGTTTCGCGCCGAATGCATTTAGTGCATTAAAATGGTCACGGCTTTGTTTGCCAATTAGTTCGTTGACACAAACAGTCGGCTGACACTAGTTAATGGTAAACGAGTACGAACGTTGAATTACAATCGATCGGAAACGCCGAACTGCGTCATGACTCAAATCGTACAGGTTATGAGTGCCTAATATTTTAGAATCGTTTTGATGCTTCACATTTGAATAAAATATAAATTACATATTGACACATTAATGTTGACTCTGTACTTGAAAAGGTGCTTTGGGTTTACAGTTTTTTTTTAATGGCCATGTAGGTAGACCATTAATAAGAAGTCAGTGAGCTCCGATAAGTACTTGCCTCCAAGTGTACCTGGAGATCGTAGACCCGGAGGTAGTAAAATAGGTATAAGTTACAAGTAAGTAGTGACCAAAATGGTTTGTGGAAAATGAGTATTTTATTCAGTTTCGCGAGTCCTAAACACAATTAAAAGTACTTTTACGGTTTAATTTGCAGTTTTTTGTTGTTATTGTATTATTTCTGACGTTTCGAAATTTTTACAATTTTCTTTAGAATTACGACAAAGGTCAATAAACTGAAGAATCCCAGAAAAAAAATCTCTTATTTTTGTAATGAAATGATTTTTTTCTTCTATCTTAGACATTGATTCTTAAAGTCATTAACAAAACGATTTATTGAAATCTCATTAATTTGTATAAAAACTTGCAACCAGTTTATTTTAAAGATGTAATATGATAAATATTTTAAAATGTATAAACGCCAATTCATTTTAATTCTGTTGAATAATTTATGTAACTTAAAATAAAAATATATCGAATTAGCATTCTTATGTTGACTTTAAAATTTGGACACCATTTTGTTTTATTAACGGTCTGTCTAATTTAAATTAGAGCTAAACAACTTTCGTTTTCCAAGAATATTAAAAAATGAACAAAATCTATATAATTCTGAACCATAATATAATTTTATTCATCCACAAAATATATAAGTTAGAATTCTGCATACTACATAATAGTTAAATCGTAAGTTTAAATAATGGAGTGATGCTTTTGAGTAAAAAATTAGTACCGTCTAAGTCTGAGTAAGATTACTATGCTCCAAACTGACATAAGACAGTGCAAATACGAAGGAAACAGATTCCTATTTGGATCCAAAACTTATCTAAACTTTTCATGGCATAATAACAACATTTGGTTCGTCGGTTTGTCGAGCAAAATCTCCCACTCGGTGGAATATGTAATTTATTCAATTTATTCACTCGAATAGTGTACTGGCTGGATGTCGTCTAGTAGTTCCAAGGAAATGCGTTTTATTCGTATAAATGTATTCCTATGATTCCTCCTTAGATATAAAATACGAGCAATTTCTACCATTGCTAAAGTCGCAATAGCTCAATTAGGAACCTTCTATAAATAAGAAAATTGTTTTTTTTTATAATTCGGTCAGACATCCAGCTGAGATACTTTGTGAGTGGAATAAAATGAAGGCAATATATATCCACTATATAGCCAGTTTTTCTCTAATAATAAATGAAAAAAAATATGTAAATTTCATTTCTTACTGTTCCTTGTATTTTCTTAAATCTCTGAGACGTGAGGAATTGGCCTGAATGACAAATCTACGTGTTGCCATGCGCAAAAAATCTGCAATTATGTTCAATACATTTTCAATTTTAAAAGACGCCTTTTGCAGAAATTGCAACAATAAGTAGTTAATTTATTGTATTATCGACTGTTTTCAAGGCAAGGACAAACAGACACCTGAGTAATTAAACGCTTTTATTACGAACAGCGTACATCTGATCTTGACTCGTCCAACTAACTAAAATTGCACAAGATTTTGCTATACATAGCTTTAGAGCATTCATATCTAAGTCGAATGTTCTAGATTTTGACAAACGCTTATCGTTTTTATCGAACATTATTGACAGTTCTATCATTGCATTTTATCAATGATTGAAATTTACAGAATAATAACAACAACAACAAACACCAACATAATGTTGACGATTGTTTTTTTTACGAAAACAATCCAGATCTTACACAATAACACTTCTCGTGAGAAACAGTTTTCGACAAAGACGGAATGATATGTAAATTTTTTTCTTGTTAAACTACTTTCATCGTGTACTTATATTTTTTTGTTGTTGTATCCGAATTGCATTTCTCTTTTTGCCTTCAAATCATTCCAAAAACAAATCGTTTAAGGGTAATAAGGCAATAGTTTAAGGGTAAATAAATCAATAAATTTAGTATAAGTGTACTCCAAGATCCACCGCACATCAAAATGTTACCATGTATATTAATTAAGACATTTCAATTAGTAGCTATTCGGCAATGTAATATGCCAGATGCTATGAGACATTACTAGATCGGATAAACACTTTTTTCCTCTCAAAATATTTAAAGAGCTATACCTATATCAAGACTCATGAATTATCAAATATTGTGTCGGGTAATATAATTTCTAACCTACTACATATACGTTGTATTTGGGTCGATAAATGTTAACGC